GGACTTTCACACACATTAGATCCAAGGCCACTCAGGGGCACATGAACCATCACCCAGGCCAGGTGCTTTGAAAGTGGCACTGTTGATGGCTACGGCAGGAGGGCTGGGTACAGTGTCACTAGTAACGTTTGTTTGCAAACATGGAACTGCAGAAATTTTATATTTATGAGAACATGGGTTGAAGAAAGAAGAGCTACCATGATCCTAACCAGAATTACAGTAGTCATGGTAGCAGCGGGGGCGTCCGAGGTGGATTTTCCTGAGGTCTGACTGAGGCCCCGGGGCTGGCTCTSGGCCAGCAAAGCACAGAAAGCTTTCAGGCTAGGCTCAGAGGTTTGCTTTCCCACTTGCCTCCCCAGGCTGCCACCAGACACCCTTTACTCTATTCTCCCTGAAACTTGGACCTTGCTTACAGGGATTCCCACCCTAATCTCCATTCAGACACAATGGGAGGCCCTGTTTGGCTAAGCTCCTGCCCTGGCCCCACAGCCAGACCAGGCCAGGAGAGCTGCTGCTTCAAGTGCCACCTCATCAAACCCAGACTGTAAGGAAGCGATTGACCCCAAACAGTGGCTTCTCCCCAGATCAAGAGGCTCCAGTCCACCCGAGTCTGCCTGACAGGGGRTCCCATTGCTTTAACCTTGCGGAAAAAGTGACCTGCGGCAACTTGGTGAGCAACTGGCTTTCTCCTTGTTTCCGTATACCCACCTGATGAACTCACCGTTGTGCCCCTGCCTCACGGGGAAAAGCCAGTTAGATCTATAACAAGCCCCTTCAGACATTCTTTTTTTTTTTTTTTTTATGTGTGTGGGGGTGGTGGTGCCAGGGATTGAACTCAGGGACACTGGACCACGGAGCCACATCCCCAGCCCTATTCTGTATTTAAAACGGGGTCTGAGTTGCTCACTTTTTGCTGAGGTGGCTTTGAATTCAGGATCGCCTGCTTCACCCTCCAAGCTGCCRGGATTACAGGCAGGCACCACTGGGCCCAGCAGGACGTCCCTTGACACAGCAGTGTGGTGGGAACTGTATTCAGCGCAAASCGCCATTCAGTGCCTGCTGGACGTGTGGCTGCTGAGCCCTTTGCCACTGGTAAGACTCAGGAACCCCACTGCACATCGTCTGATCTGGGTCAGTTTAAATGGCTTCGACAGAGCTGGACCTCTTCCCCTGACAGCTATGAGGTGGGGATGAGGAAGGGCTGGTGCGGAGGGTGTCACTATGTTCCAGGGAAGGGAAGGGGAGTCACAGCAGCTCCCTGACAGACCCTTCAGCATGCTCATGAATCTGTCACGCCTTACTGGCCTGCGACATATGGGGATTCCGAGGGTGATCCTGCTCTCTTCTGGCCCATGTAAATCATGTTCCTGTCCTTCCCTATTACCAAAAGTAATTATTAGGGTTGGAGGTTCATTTCCTGTCCCTCATATTCTTTTCTCCTGCTACTAGGAGTGAACCCAAGGGTGCTCTACCACTGAGCAGCATCCCCGGCCCTTTTTATTTTTAAGACATGGTCTTGCTAAGTTGTTTAGGGCTTCATTAAATTGCTGAGGCTAGCCTCAAACTTGCGATCCTCCTGCCTCAGCCTCTGGARCCTGACATTACAGGTGTGTAACAGCATGCCTGGTCCCTTATATACTTTCTACACCAAAATAATGCACACTAAATTCCTAGTTTACTAACAAGTTTTGGTTCAGATTTTTTTTTTTTTTAAAGTTTGAACATTCTGGTTCACAGAAGCAACTTCACAAAAAGAACTGTAATGTAAATAACATATACATTTGGTCTCTGCCCCCAGCTTCTGGTACATAGCTCCTAAGCCCTTGGAATTTCTTGAGTGGTGGGGTGAGAGGGCCACCTCCTGCTGCCCACACCCTGTTGAAGTCAAGGGGTGTGGCTCATGAGGGGCCTTGGGACACAGGGCTGAGTGCCTGAGGGTGGGCATGTGATCAGAGGTGGAACTTTCAGGCACTCCTGGACCTCCACAAAGGGAGAGTGGGGAGTCCCCCTCCCCCACCAAGACACAGTCCACACCTACCTGAACCTCCAGGGGCCCCAAGGCTGGTGAACACGTGGGGTGCTAGGAGGGTGCCCTGCAGGGAGGATGGGAGCTCCATGCAGCTCCACCACACCAGGTCCCTTCTGCTGGGGGGTCACTTGTATCCTGTCTAATATGCTGGAACTAGTGAGATCTCTAGGAGCCATCCCAGCACAGGGAAGTGAACCCGACGTACAGCAGCTCAGGCACAGAGGCCCAACTGAGACTGGGGYCGGGAGCCGGGCAGTCTGGGCCACACCTTAACCCTGGGGTCTGACTCTGGAAGTTCATGCCAGAAGTCCCCGTCACACGCAGTCGGCATCGGCACGGTGGAGGAGGGCCGGTTGTGTGAAGACCTGGTCCAGCAAGCCAGTGCCTTGGTGACCTTCAGTTCTGGGACTCCGGGCTGGCCTGCCAACCTCCCTGCAGCCCACCTAGTGGGCTGTGGCTCAGGCTCCTGCATGGAGGCCTTGTTCCAACCTGGGGGGCTGCAGGTGGTGAGTTGAAGCCACAGTTCCACGGCAGCTCACCCTGAAATCAGGACTCTGCGAGGAACTTGGGTCCTGGGCACAGCACATCTCCAGGGCCCAGGCACAGGGCCCCCTCCCTCTGGTGGAACTTCACACTGTGGGGAGGCATAGAGCAGGGGCTAGGGGGAGTGGCAAGGGTGGCTGGGCACAGGAGATCCAGGCACTTCAGGATGACTGGAGCTGTGAACAGGGAGCAGCCGGAGGGAGCCAGGGCCTTCTTCGTGGCCTRGAGATGGGTGGTGTGGACCCTGGGGCCAACTTTTCCAAGCCCTTTAACACTCCTCTCAAACCCCTCAGGGGGAAAAGGTCCTCCAGGGACACCCCGGGAGCCACCTGGGGGTTTCCTGTGATGAGACCACAACACAGGGCCAAAGCACAGGCTGCAGTCAACCCACCAGGGGTTAGGAATACTCAGGATTGTGCGGAATGCGTTCTTGTCATCACTCCCAGAGGAAGGCAGTGTGATGGCTACCTAGGTGGCGTGCATGCTATATCAGGTAGCAGAGGTCACAGGAGGGGCCCAGCGCTGGCCTGACATGCCCGAGGCCCAGGGCTCCATCCCCAGCACTGCAAAACATAAGGAAAAAAGGCACTTCCAGGATACAGGAGGCTCTATGTAGGGCTTCCACAGCCCACGGCCCCATGAGGGYCTCAAGTGCATTCTGGTCATGGAACCTGCGTCCCCACCATCAGGGAGCATGGCGGCTGCCCTCTCAGTCTTCACCACAGCTGGAACGCTGAGGGGCTATGGAGCCACAGACACCTCCAAGTTCTGCCTCCCACTCCACAGACTCAGGAGGCAGAAAAAAGCATCAAGACACACTGCAGGCACTTCCTAGAAGGAGAACCTGGACGCTGTTGCCACGCCTGGGCCTGTAATCCCAGGACTCCTGGGGCAGAAGGACTGCAAATTCAAGGTCAGCATCAGCAACTTAGTGAGGCCCTAAGCAAGTTAGCAAGATTCTGTCTCAAAAATAAAAAATTAAAGGGCTGGAGGTGWAGTTCAGTGGCAGAAAACCCCTGGATTCCATCGCCATTGTTAAAAAAAAAAAAAAGAGAGAGAGAGAGAGAGAGAGGGGAAAAAAAAGATCTCTATAAAAAGTACAACTAGGGTTGCGGCTGGGCTCAGTGGTAGAGTGCTTGCCCTAGCTTGCATGAGGCCCTGGGTTCGATCCCCAGTACCACACAAAAAACCAAATAAACAAAATAAAGGTATTGTGTCCATCTACAACTAAAAATATTAAAAAAAAAAAAAAAAGGACCACTAGCCAGGAGAGGTGGTGCACACCTATTATCCTAGTGGCTGGGGAGGCTGAGGCAGGAGGATGGTGAGTTCAAAGCCAGCCTCAGCAACAGTGAGGCACTAAGCAGCTCAGGGAGGCCCTGTCTCTAAATAAAATACAGAATAGAGCTGGGGATGGGGCTCAGGGGTTCAGTGCCCCTGGGTTCAATCCCTGGTACCAAAAATAAAGAAATAAAAAGTACAACCAATGTGAACTTTTCAGAGAGCAATTCTTGCAGCAGGAACTGTGGTTGACCTTCTCATTGTTGCAGATGTGATAAAAGAACCTCCAGTGTCACCACACACACGTACCCCCTTAGCCTCCCTGAGAAGAGGTGCTCAGAGAACCAGCACCGCCTCGGCCGGCAACAGAGCTCCTTCACCTGGCCTTGACGCAGGTCCCCAGAGCCTCAGCAGCCCCTGAGCCACATGTCTCCACAARCCAGAGGCACTTCTTGCCTGAGCAGAAATGGATCATCAAAGTGGAAATGCAGGAATCTGGAGTTAGCTAAGTCATAAAAAGGATAAATTCTAATTCTGGGGCGCTATAGACTGAATACTTGTGTCCCCCCCAAATATTCACTGGCCTGGACTGGGCTTGCTGACTGGGCTAGTGTGGCTCAGTGGCGTCTTCTGTGCCTGGCGCCATACCAGCAGGCCAAAGGCTTCAGGGCCTCCTAGTGAGGACTCCGTCCCGTGCAGSGCCAGGCGAGCCAGTCAGCTGAGGCCCTGGTTCCTAAAGCATGGAACAGCAGGGCACACCTGGGGCCTCAGTGAGTTGCTGACCTCCCCGACCTGCACAACTCAAGCAAGACGACCTCTCCGAGCACAGTTGCAGCCCCAGGAAGATGATATGTGAGTGTGAAATCTGTTTACAAACTGAGGCACTTGAGAACCGACATGACTGCCGTCTCCAGGTTTGCCAGAGGAGGGCACAWGCCACCTGTGTGTGGCGGCCATCTGGGAGCCAGTTCCTGGGTAGCGTCTTTCCCAGGGGTAGGGGCAGAGGCAGGGGCAGGGGCAGGCAAGGACCGTCCCGGAGGTGGTCTCACGCACATTCCAGGACATATACTGGGCAGCCCAGAGCAGGAAGGAGCTTGTTTGAACCCTAACAAAAGCAGAACACAGAGTCAAGGAGCCAGCACCAGGGTGACTGGCAGTGCCAACAGTTTAATGACCTTCACTCCCTGCCACTCGCCCTGTCTGCACATGGACAAGCAGCTTTCTGAGTGTCCTTAGGCACAAAAGCCAACCTAGCTCACAAAACAGAACATTCGAAATCCAGGGCCAAATGGTGACTGACAGAGTCACTTCAGTCGTTTTCCTAATGGTTCTGTGATCCGGGGTCAGGACACTGGCACCGTCGGTGACGCGCTCCAGCTGCGGTGGTGGTGCACTCCTGGGCCCAGCTCCTCTGCCCACGCTGGGATAATATAGGCCCGGACCACACCTGGCACAAGGTTAGCCAGGTCTGCGCGCACCTGGCCCCGCAGCTATGAAGACAGGCCGGTGAGTTCTTGGCTTTGTTCTCGGGTCATTGATTTTTGGCTTCTGAAGTGAACTTTTTTTTGCTTAAGGAAGGAGTCCCATGACTGTCAGTGGAGACCTACAGACACCAACCAACACTTTCCCCCTTCCTAGTCAAGTAGCTTTTCTCCAAAAACCTGTTTTCATGATTTCTTTTATGGTTTGGAAAAGTAAAGAAAATGATTTCAAGTATTCAATTCCTATCAAAAATTGGTATCAAAAGTAATAAAGGACCTAATTTCTTAATAATTCCATGTTTTAAAAAATAACTTAAGAAGAAAGAGGCCMGGCCGCCTGTGTGCAGAAAGCCCACGGTGCAGCTAGAGCTGCTTGAGACAGCGTGGAGAGGAGTCTGTGTTCAGCACCTCAATCATCGACCGCAACGTGGGGAACGTCTCTGACACGGACGGAAGAGCCTTGTAGGAAGGAGAGATGCTGGAAGAGAGACAAGGTCTGAGGGCCTGCACCGCCTCACACACAGGCCAGAGTTCACCTGGCCCTCGTCCCTCCCCTGGGAAAAGCAGGCAGGAGGTGCAGTGGTCACCCCTCCCTGCAGGGCCCCAGGCACCCTGGCAGCTCAGAAGTCAAAGGGATCACATGGGCCCGCGCCTCTCCCGTTGTGCTGAAGCTGGACCTGGAAGCTGAGGACACCGCACCGCCCCCCGCCGCCAGGTCGCACCCCGCCCGAACTTCCCCCTCAGCAACRGCCAGCTTGCAAACACTGACCAACAGGGCTAGGTCTTGCTGTCACTGTCCCCTCAGGGGCTGCCAGAAGGCTTGCAAGGTGAACTCTCCCATCGGCCAGCCTTGTGACCATGTGTGAGTTGGCAAACCCCAAACAAGGACTCGGGGCAGGCAGAAGGATGATGGGCCACAATCTCAACCCCACACCTCTCCCTTTTAAAGAACACGAATCACCCAGCAGCAGTCAGAGGGCTGCTGTGGGCATGAAGGCAAATCTGCAGCTGGTTAAGATGTGACAGCAGGCCTCTCCTTGTGCTCGCCGTGGAAGCAGCAGAGTCTGATCCCAGGCTCCTCCCCAGGGCCCTGGAGGTGGGCAAGAGCTGGGCAGTGGGTCTGCGGACTCCTGGCACGCAGCACCACTGGCTTATTCCTGCCCATGTCACCACGATGTGTCACAGAGCAACCAGGCTCTGTGCCAGTACCAGTAGTGAGACAGGCTCTGACAACGAGCACGCCCCCGTCCAGGGCAAGTGGCCCCAGCAGTGGAGGCCTGGGAGTGCGACTCTGACCCACCTGCTTTCCTCACCTACCACCTCCCTCACCTTCGTCTCTAGCCCACCTGAAGGGCCCACCAGGCAGGAGAACCCTCAACCCACACAAGCACCCGGGACCCACAGTATCCACACAGGCTAGGCCTCCACCCCCCTCCACATGGAGTTACCTTTTCAAGTTCATCCAGCTTTTGGCTATTCTGCTAAAGGCCTCTGAACCGGGGGCTGTCATAGCTTCAAAGTCGACCAACTGAAAAAGGGAGAGACGTGGGGCAGCAGTGAGATGGGGTGGCATCCAGGCCCCACCCAGCAGGCCCCCAGTGGCACTCACGCACCTTCCCCTTGGGGATCTTCCCGGCCACCTCCTTCCCGCTCGCCATGAGTGCACCCACAATGACTGAGTAGGCGATGACGCTGTAAGGAGAACAGCCGTCAGGTGGCAGGACCTTCACCAGGCCTCGCACGCTTGCCACCACACAAGGCAGGACATCCATCACTTAGTCACACAGCAAGGCTTTTACTTGTTTAAAAAAATTGAGTCATTTACTACTAAAAATCGACTGATTTGCTATTTTAGGGTAAAGTCACTGAGTACGTTCTTTCTAAGAAAAGTATTTTTATGGGTTTTCTTCCCATTTTCTACTGCTGTGAAATAGTAAGTTTAAAATGGCACTAAGACACACATACACAAGGTTTATAAAAACAAATGCAGTAATCATATTTTTTAAGCATTAAAAATGTTGGCCCCCAAAGAAGCAGAACAGACAACTAGCAAGCAGTGGTCTGGAACTTGGGGGTACGTGAGCTGCCGGGAACAAGGAGGCCACAGGAGACCGAGCCTGGGGCCCTTGCCTGCTTGCTTGGGGCCCATGAGCAGAGTCTGCTGCCTGGTCTCCCTGGACAGGTCCAGGGCAGCAGTGTTTGGAAGTGGCCCTGCTCCAACTCTTGGCAGGAGGAACGGGGTGGCTGCAGTGCTGGGTGGAGGAGACTTGGCACTGAGACCATGGTCCTGTTTCAAAGCCTTGTAAATACCATCACAAAACTTACTATCATGTTTCCAAAACTTGAAAGAAATTCAAGAATATTTCAGCCAAAAACACCTTAAGTTCAAATAGGGGTAACGTGCCACCTGATCATGCGGCACTGTGTCCTGGGAAAGGAGAAGGGAAGCAAGCACTGCAGACACACCCCTTGTCTAACACCTGGCAAGAATCTACCCCACGGAGGGCCAGTAATGGAGGACTGGCAACCCAAAGTAGAGCATTTCAAGGTTAAAGGGCCACTAATGGCCAAAGAGAGGAGGGAGGGCAGGGGCAGGGGAGGGACTGTGAACTCCAGAGCTAAAGCACAGGGCACGGCCCSGTCCTGGGCCTCTAGCAAGAGTGGCAGACTATACAAGCCACACTAGACCCCTAATGTGCAGATCAAGGAAGCCATTTTTGTGGGTGTGAGTTCGGGGAAAACAAACAGGTGGCTGGCTGCTCAGTGTTTCTCAGATGCTTTTGCACCTGTGTCCAGGACAGGAGCCAGCCAGAATGCACTTTTAAATGTGAAAGCTGTAATCATCAGACATCACTTACCTAGATCCCCGCGAGAGAGGCATTAGATTGTAGAAGTAATAAACCAAGGATAAGATCAAGTTGCAGACAGCATCAGCCTCCTGGAAAAGGACACAGACTCGTGAACTGAAGGCCACCAGACCAACACTCCACAGGCAGGCGTGAGGGCCGCCATATCAGGAAAGATGGTCCACGGCCCYCCTCTAAGATCTGCCCTCGGTCCTCCAGCAAGAAGGTGCGTACACCCTCTGCCTGGAGCATCAAGTCCCCAGCTGTTCCTCCCACACAGCCTTATTTTTTTAAAAAATATATTTTAGTTGTAGATGGACACAATACCTTTATTTATTTATCTTTAAGTGGTGCTGAGGATGGAACCCAGGGCCTCACACATGCTAGACAAGCGCTATACCGCTGAGCCACAACCCCAGCTCCCACAGCAGCCTGTGACAAACAGAAACCTCAGCTCCTTTAATGCTATTTGGAACATCAAGACACATACCACAGTTAGGATTTTAAAAGCACTTAGCAACACCTCATATGTTTTCTTGCTTACTCTTTGCCATGCTGGGGCTCTGACCTGGGCCTTGTGCATGTGAGGCAAGCACTGAGCAACGCTCAGCCCTTAACATGCTTTCTCAAATAACATGTCTTTCTGCTCCAAAGTGTGCTGGCGAGCTGCCTCTTTCCTTTGCATTGAGACCCAAGTGATAAAAACCTTCATCCTGTGCTTGGACTTTGATGAAGAACTGGTTAAATGTCAGAGAAATGAGCAACTGCTCAAGCTTAGAGGTGCCCACTGCACGTGGGGAGCCCACCAAGCAGACAAGCGAGGCCCCACCTACACAGGGCCCCCTCTAATCTGGGCAGGCAACCAAGGGAAGAGGCCCTGCCAGACAGTAAGCAAGTTCAGTGTGATTTCACTGCCTAATCCAGTGAGAACACATCGTGTGTTCAAATCTACAATTTCACTGCGAGTACTGGGAGGGGAGGGAAGAGGAGGCCCAGATTCACATTGTGACCTGCCAATTCAACACCCAGTTACTGCAACTGCTAAATGTGGGACAGGTTCTGCCTTGAGGAATCTCTAAAAAGAGGTATACATGTCTGTAGATGTTCAAGCACAAGACGGACCACCTCAACGAAAGGTTTTTAAACATTTGTGAAAGAACCGGAGAAAAGCTGGAAATGGCACAGAGACCTACCCCAAATTCTGAGGAGAGGATCAGCACTTTTCCTCTTGCCGTCAGGTCTTTATACAGGGCGTCTATCTCAGCGTGATATAGCTGGGTCCTTTCTTCTGTGGTTTGAGTTTCCACAGAAAATAGGATATTTCCAACTCTGAAAACACAACCAGGAGTGTCAAAGGCATGTATCTACTACCCAGTCCACATAGCCAAACAAAGAAAGGAAGAAAGAAGGAAGGAAAGAAGGAAGGAAAGAGGAAGGAGGCCAGCCCACACGCTGAGCTGCTCCCACTCAGCCCAGTGGCTCCTCACGACGTTGGCCGTGGCCTGACACTGGCTTACACTGAAAGGAGCTGCGGCACCTGGCTCCTATTAGTCCAACCACACGTCCCTGATCCAGGAGCTAAGCTGCTGAGGTCCCACCAAGACAGTGCTGAGGAACAGCAGCACAGTGCATGGGCTGATGGCAGTGACTTCCTCAGGAGCTTCACCAGGCGCTGGGCCCTGAATGCCAGAGACTAGTGGAGAACCTGCACCTGAGGGGCCGCCACACGAGGCCGGTACCAGACAGGCTCCTTCTCAAGCCCACACAGAGAAGCACAGGTGCTGCTGCTATTGAAGGGACAGAGAGGAGGTCCCAGGAGACCAGGCTCATGGCCCAAACATAGCTGTCAGAGGGTAAAAAGCCAGGAAGGTCTCTTGAAGATGTGGCCTCAACATGGGCCCTGGACAGGAGGAAGGTGAGGACACAGGAGGTGGGGGCGGGGCAGAACGGCCAGGTTCTGGCAGGAYGGGGTCCAAGCAGGGCCGAAAGTACTATCTGAGGCCACCAATGACCTGCTGGGAGCTGGAGCTGGTGCTGGTAGCGAAAGGCAAGGGCAGGGTGTATGGGGAAGGGACTTCGGAAAGGCTGTGAAGCCCTGGTGAAGCAGCAGCTGGATCTGGAGACCAGCCTCAAGTCAGCCCGACGGCAAGGGAGGAAGTGGGTGGAAGGCAGCTGGGGAAGGGATGTCATGTGTCTTTGTCCAGTCTTCCCACTTCCGCCTGGGACTAGACCCCAGGACACAGACCCTGAGTGTGTGCAAGGAAAAGGGAACAGTCTTTACATCAAACAGCACTCCCTGGAATTCCACTGGCGGAATCATCTTTCCTGGGAAAGTACTTGGCATAGAGATGAAGACCTCAACGACAAGGAGAGGCACGGAGTTTGTAAGTTGCTAACCAGTGCTCACTCATGAGGGCCTGTTAGTTCCCACATGGAACGCCAGGAGGTGGCTTCGCCCATGTGAGAACAAATGCTCATGAGAAAGCCAAGCACAAGAGGCAGAGGGGCACTCAGGGCCATGTCACCAGTGGGCAGAAACCCCAGGAGGGCTTGGATCTCCCACAGGCCTCCCTGGAGGACCCTCAGAGGGAGGCTTGAGACCTGTCCCCCCGCCCAGTGCCAGGGGTTTGGAAGCTCTGAGATGAGGTTTGGATTTCAGATACAAGTAAAATCCAGCTCATGAAAATGCTTATCAGGGTGATTATTCAGCCATAAAGGGAAACACTTTAAACACTTATCTGTAGGGGAAACGCTACATCTAAATTCTAACACTATGGTTGCTACAGAAACTTCTAAGAAAATGACTGGAAGGCCATGACAGCGGGATGGTGAGAGTGCAGAGGCATCGGCCCACCCAGCGAGGTGACTCCATCCCAAGGACATTGACCTCATTTTTATCTTGTTGACTCTGCTTATCTGCATCTTCTGAATGTTCTACAATAAGACACTACCCCTGCAATGCACTAAAGCCTATGTACTTAAAGAAAGTCCCACGGCGACTTCAGCCTGCCATCCGCTCACCTGCATTCTCTCTCTGGTCAAAGCCTCCCCTCGCCACATGCTCGGCCTCACACTGGGTGGCCAGAGGCTGCTGGTCTCAGGTGACAGCCTCTGAAGCCTGCCACTGCAAGCTGGGCCCTGCTGCTGTTCCTTTCTGAACCAGCCCCTCGTCACGCCCCGCACATGTGCACCTGCCCCATCGGACGTACTTGTCTCCAGTGACTGTGATGGTGAACCCGTCGTGCTCCTTCCCTTGGTCCCGGAGGCTGGGAACTTTTGTGTTTACAGTGAACCCATCCTTTGTTTTGGTATTAAACTGCTTTCAGGGGGGAAAAGAAAATCACCGTTACTAGTGTCTACCCCACGGAGAACCCTAGCTGAAGTTCTGCAGTGCTGACCCAGACTGTCTGAGTATGTCCACGGGGTCTGGGAAGTCGCTGGATGCAAGAGGCAGAGTGCTCTGTCCTGTCACACAGGGACGAGCATACCTCTCCAGTCCTCAGACCCAACACAAGCCCCGTGAGCCTAAGTCCACTCCCTGAGACCAGCCAGGGTGGGCCTCCTCTAGGAGCTGCCCCTGACTCCCCCATCCTATGTGGCAGGTAGCAACCGGATCCTACAGACAGCTGCTCCCACACAGGCACTCCCTGCTCAGAGCCGAGGGCCTCGCTGGCACGCTGGGGTCCCCTCTGACCTGTGGGTCCCACCACAGGCATGCTCGCACCACCTCTGCAGGGGCTAAGGGAACTCCTAGTGCTCAGTGGGATCCACTGTGTGCTGCTGCTCCAGACGCCAGCTGTTTAAACAGCTGTGACAAACCCCAAATCTCGTAGAGATCACTATTCCAGAAAAATGCCTCCCAAATCTGGCTCCTTTATAGGATCCATGTTTTCTTTATATATATATATTTAGTTGTACTTTCATTTAATTAATTTGCTTATTTTATGTGGTGCTGAGGTTCGAACCCAGAGCCTCACACGTGCCAGGGAGTGCTCCGTCTCTGAACCCCAGCCCAGCCCATGGTCCTTGTTTTCTCAAGGCTGATGGAAACAGGAGGAGTGAAGTGTAACAGAGGTGGTGCTGATGACCCTGGTGTTGTCAATAGAAGCCGCTTTGTCCAGGAAGGCAGTTCTCAGAAGGCCACTCCAGCCTGGGGTGCCACGCTTCTCATTCAGGTGCACACCCACGGAGGGCCAGGTGGGAATCCACTGAGCGACTGAGCAGGAAGCAGTAAGTGGCGTGAACCCAGGCCCCTGCACTCCTGCTAACCAGTCACCTGCGGCTTCCAGGCTGCTCTACGTGCCTTCTCGTCATTGTGCCCTTTGGAGGCAGCAGGCTTGCCCCCATTTTGCCACCTAGGTAAAACGCAGACATCTTGCTGCAGATGTCCGCCAGTGCTTGTGAAACGCAACATGTCTGTTCCCTGGCGTCATCATTCCCACCCATAGGACTGGGCGACTTCACACTGAGACGGGTGTGCTGGCCTCTCTTGGGCTCCTGCTGAGGGATGGTCTCACTGTCCAGTCTGCTCTTCTGTCTAAGCCACCCTGCAAGCAGCTTTTGTGCTCTGATACAGTAAGCCTCAGTGCCTGACGCCCATGGGGCAGAGGCAAAGGCTGAGACCCTCCAGTTCATTCCTCTGGTGCGTCCCAGCACTGACGCTGACCTGCCCCCTGGGGACACTGGGAGACTGATGGGACACTTAGGCTATTGCAGTGATTGCACCAGGACCGTCCCATTGTTCAGGTCACACACAACTGTGCTGCTGGGCTTCCACATAGAGGGAAAACCTGTTCATGATTCACTGAAAACTGCGCCTGGAACCAGACTCTGTTTCATACCCATGTAGTATTTCACATACACTGAATGTGCCAGCAGCACAAACACCACATAAATTGAGGAAAGAACATATTACATGCAGTTTAGAGCTTTACTAAGCATGGCTGACCATTCCAGAATACCACGCTACCAATGAYAGTGAGTCACCAAGTACCAGACACAGGGCTGAACCTGGGCCTGCCACATTCCCGAGAGTCCACGGAAGCATGTGAGCAGCTGGCTGCTTCTTGACTGCATCTCCACGCTCCGTAGATGAGACCCAGGATGCAAACACAGCACGGACCCCTGCAGTCCTGGCTGTGGACGMGGGCCTGGGGCAGAGGCCGAGCTCTGGCTTCACCACCAGCTCCAGGTCCTCCCCAGAGGTGGGTACTCGCTGGTCTTCACACGTGTCTCCTAAACATCACTGGACGTGGGTCCTCCCAGCCAAAGTGGCTGTTGGGAGAAGCAGATGTACCTGTAGTTGGCAGGTTGGGGCAGTTTCACTCCCAGGTGAAAAGCTCATGTTTTGACGACCGAGCCAATGATATAGTCCATCAGTCCCTTGGGTTCCCGTGGGTTTGATTCTGATGGCCAGCCTGCTGCTCTCTCGAGTACGTGCACAGCACACCTCTGCCCTCACTGTTCCATGCTGTGCTGCTGCCCGCACTTCCTCTTAACGCCCACCTGAGACCTGCCTGCCAACGTGTGGCCATGATGGCCACATTTTGTGTCCCTCCTCTTCTTGTGAGCTTGAGGCTGAGAAGTCAGACACCCCACTCTGCTCTTCTGGGGTCCGAGTCTATGCTGGGGGCAGCTGAAGCTTCAGCCCACGGCCCATGCATGCTGGGCAAGTGCTCTGCCCCGAGCAGCATGCCCAACCCTGAACCTGTGTATGTCACGGGTCACTCAGTGGTCATCTGCTTTTCCAGAGAAAACAAGGACTGCCGTAAATTTCCACTCCCACCCTCTACTTTTTAAACCTTTAACGCTGAGGTGACCAAGCATTTCGACTTCAGACAACTTTCTATTTTGCAACATGCATTCAACAGCCGACTTCAGACTGTTCACCACCACATTTCTATCTTGTTTTCCTTGCATTTGTTTTTTGAGAATTCTTTGTTCTCGAGTTATTCTGACAGAGGATCATCTGTGCTTACTGGGATTCCTGAATTCCTACATGCTTGAAACTGCCTCTGCCATACCATCACAGCCAGATATGGGACTGGGTATTCCGAGGGATCCCCTCCACTGTCTGTGAGAATCCACCACTCTGGCAGGAAGTCAAGTACCGACTTTATATGGAGACAGGATTGAGCCCCATACACACTGTTTGCCCTACATACATATCTAAGGTGGAATTAAATTTGTAAACTCTGTGCAACTATAAAAACAGAGCAGTTGCAACATACTGCAATAAAAGGGGGAACTCTGGTCATCTTCACGGTGTGTGCAGTGTCACCCCGGCTTCCATGACCCTTTCACTAACCCAGTCTAGAACCTACCTCTGTAACCAGAGCCCTGCCCCACATGCTCCACCCTGTCCTGGTCCTGGTGAATCYGCCATGGTGCCTCTGGCTGTCGGAGAGTGGAGCTGGCAGCTGCCCTCTGGGGGTTGGCCTGCTGTGCTTGGCGAGTCTTCTAGGCACGTCCCTGTTGTGTGTGCAGAGCATGCTGTGTCCATTCACTGCAAGCCGAGGGACACTCCGGCACATGTGGCTGACTCGGGGGGCACCTATCTGCTCCAGTGCCCACCCCAGTTCCCAGAGTACAGCGCAGGGCTGTGAGACCCTGTCTCATTCCTRAGGAACTTCTCTTTGGGCCCCAGGGTGCTCCTGCGCATGGGGTGCCACTCTTGGACACAGTGAGCTCCGAGCACCCAGGCCCCAACTCACCTCGCCCTCATTGACCCGTCCATCATCTGGCTGGCTATGCCCCCACCCCCATCTTTCTTCTCTCCTGGGCTTCTGCTAGCTAGGGCTGCTCTTCACCTGTTTCCTCCCACCTTGGGAGGACTCGGGGCAGGCGCCTCTTCCTTGGACACAGTCCTGGGAGGCCAGCTGAAGCGCCTGTGTCTGACGTTCAGCCATCTTCCATCTGGGGCCGCTCAGACTTGCTCAGCTCGTAAAAACTCCGTTTCTTTCCCATCACACATCCATTCACCCCATGACACTGATTCACTCTCATGAAATGACCCACGTGTTCTCACTGAGGTCGGATCACACAGGCAGTGCCCTGGTACAGCTGACGTACTTGGCACACATGCACCCATGCAAGCAGCCTCGCGTTCTGGGACTCTCCTGCTCTTCTAGGCAGGTCTCTCCTGCTCTGGCTCTCCCCCGGAGGACAGCTAACTGGGGCTCCTTCTTGGCACCGTTATCTCCTGCATCGGGCTTCTCTGTCCAAAGCAGTGTTTCTGAGATCCAGTCACAAATCTTCCCTTTGGTCTTGAATCTCTTCCACGTACTCACTGAGGAGCACTCACAGGTCCCTGGAAGCCCTCCTCTGGACCAGCAGAGATGTGGATGGGCAGCACACGCTGTGACCACATCTCACCATGCACATCTGAGGCGGGGTGTTTCAAGCAGCCATTTCTAGTCTTGCGGGGCTGTGAGACCTAGATGCTATGTGACCTGCTGCCGTCCAGCTCCCCCCMCAGAGCTGCCCCAAAGCTGCTGAGCTCCTGAGCTGATCACCAGTCTAGACTGGGGACCACTGACTTTTCAGTCCCTGGATTTTGTTTTGATTCCTCTGGTAGCTCCCATTTTCCTGCTGAGGTTTTCCATTAGTAAGTTTCTGTTTTGCTCTGGGCTCCTGAAGTGTTTACAAAGCAAACAAAACCTTCTGTTTACTTTTCTTGGTTATGGGTCCCCTTTCTTCACATTTCATGCTACTCTGACAGAACACCTGATTCTGGGAAATTTATAAGAATAGAAATTCACTGTCACAAAATGGAGGCTGGAAGCCCGAGAGTGAGGCTTCACGATGGAGAGTAGGCGGGCAAGAGGCAGAGCTTGCTCCCCAGAGCCCTGCCCAACCATATCATCACTGGCTACCACAACAGAGGTGCCATCCCCACACTGTGCACCAGGGACTGTTCCTGCAGGAGAGCTCTGGGGGACATGCAGACCGCAGCACTGACTCCCCCTAATTACTGTTAGCAAGTATGCACTTAGAGATTATGAGGCTGTAAGTGCTGTTGCTTTTCCCCTGAAGCCACCTCTGCAGTTCTGATGATCAAGTTACCTTCATAATTGGAAGAAGGTCTTCTACTTTGTGTACCTTTTCCAAAGCTTCTCTGACTTCCAACAACCCTTTAGGATTATTAGCCCTTTAAGAGAGAGGGGGAAGGAAGGAGAGGGCAACTGAGGTTATGCAGAAATATGAAAACCAATCATGCAATTAGCATTAACTTAAATAAATAAGTTGCTCCTAATTACAAGCAGTCAGTACAGTTGGCCTCTGTATCCTCAGGTTCCACATGTGCAAATTCAACCAAGGRATCAAAAATACACAGAAAAAGCTGGGAGAAGTGCGCACACCTGTAATCTCGGTACCTTGGAAAATTCAGGCAGGAGGATCAAAGGTTCAAGACAGCAGGGGTAACCTGGCAAGGCCCTGTCTCAAACTAAAATTAAAAAAAAAAAAAAAGAGTGGCGATGTGGCTCCATGTTAGAGCACCTGGGGTTCAACTAGGGCGGAGGAAGTACAAAAGTACAGCCTCGGTACTGGACATGTGCGGGTGTCCTACCTGACATTACTCCTAAACAACACAGTAAGCCAACCATTAACAGCACTGTGCTTTGCTTGGCAACAGCGGCAACCTAGAGGTAGCCTGGGTGTGGGGCTGACGTGATGGGGTCCTATGCAAACACTGTCATTTTTAGAAGCACTTCTTCATTGCTATAGCAGCTGCAGGTGTTGGCATCTACTGCAGGTCCTGGGACTGTCCCCATGGGGGGGGACCAGGGGATGTCTGCACTTGTGTGGTAGGCCAAAACCTCAGTTCTAAATGGTACGGGGGCAGGGGCGTGCACAATCCTATGGAGTTCAGGCTGCAGATGAGAATCACTGAAGTGGTGGAGCAGGGAAGGCAGCAGGGACAGCCAGCTAGCATCACGTCCCATGTGTGGTGTGGATTCTGGCAAGACCCTGTCAATTCCCCAATTCTGCAGCTGGCCATAMAAGCGTTTTTCACCCTGAGGCTGCTCAGTGAGCGCAACCTGCCAGGGTTCACACCAATGCAGGCTGAGTTAGTGCTCTGTGGCCACTCAGTGCTGAGTTCCCTGGAGAAAGGAGGAGACCCCAAGGGCCCAAGTGCCAGGCTAGCACTCAGCCCTCCGAACTCTGGCTGTGGAGGAGGAGTGCCGACTATAGGCCTCACAATCTGAGGCCCCACACAACATCTGGTCCACCCATTCTCCCCCGTCAGTGGGCATGGTGTTACATCTCTACATTCAGTGAACATAACAAATGTAAAAGCTATCCAGTCGGTCCATCACCATGAAGGAAAAACTGGAGGCTTACCCATGATAAACAAGAATTCTATCTTTGATAAAATGAAGTATTTTCTCAAAATATTCCAGATATCTCATGTTGATCACCTGACCCCTGAAAGGCAGAAGAAATATTGAAATTAACAATCTTCTCACAAAGGAACATGCTTGGAGTGATACCTGTGTCAATTCAGGGACATCAAGAGTCATAAGAACAACACAGCCAAGACAAGGTTGGGGATCCCTCGCTCGGTCTTGAAGGCAGAAGCAAGGCCTCAGCAGGCTTGGGGGCCCTTCCTGTCTGGAGAGCTGGCTCCACCCAGGTACAGCACAGCCCTGAGGAGCGCAATGCAGGTGCAGACTYGGATGCAGCCGCACGCCCCGGGCAGCCGCCAGCTCTCCTGATGTGCCACTGATGGGCCTCCTGCTCTCCAACTTTCTTTCCTACTTTCTACTCCAAATATTCTCCTTGCTTCATGTCCCTTTTTCCTATTCCAGAAATTCACGTCCAGCCGTACTGGAGTCCCAGGGCCCGCCTTGCTGCCTCCCTGGCCCCCACCTCAAGGTCACCACTGCACAGCATGAATGGCGCCCTGTGTAGCACTTCTTGGGCTCCACCAACTCCGTCCTGTGTTAGCTGGCTACCTAGATGACCACGCACCTGAGCCGGCAGACTCGGGGCCGTCCCTGTGGCCAGGCTCCCCACCACTTCTGACACACCACCAGAGCTCCTGGCTGCCCCTCYTGAACATTTTCTCCTCTGTCAACTCACTTCCTGACAGCTCCAAGACCGCTAATGTGTTCACAGCTCTCCAAACTGGTCCCCCACAGCTGCCCTGCTGCCACTCCTGAATGGTTCACCACCACCTTCAGGGAAAATTCCTCAGGGGGAACTAAGAGCTATTTGTATCCTGGCTTCTGTCTTTCCAGCCTCTGCACCCCCTGCCCCTCAGCTGCACTGGGTCACCACCTCCAGGACCTTGCCCAGCACATTCCTGGACTTATGCCCCCTTATCCCCTCCCCTCTTCCTGGCAGCCTACCTTCCTTACAGCCTGGACCAAGCCCCTTCTCTGTTCCCTGGGCATCCTGCACCAGTGGCCACCCTGTCTCAGTACCGCACTGTATCCCTCAAGCCAGGGCCTGCTGCACCTCCCACAGTCCACCACACTGCCCAGCACATGCCCAGCAACAGTGGCCTTCAGTCACAGCCAGTTGACTGAGGCCAGCTACACATATCAAATTGGTTCCATGTGAAATAGGAAGATACGAGTCTGAAGGGAAAAAGAAATTTATTTTCTAGAACTTAAAAAAATTGGCATTTCTACTAACACCCAACCTAAATGTCAGTCATGTGGAATGATATCTTATTGACTCAGGTTTCTGTAATCAGAAGCATTTTTGATGTGACATGGTATATTTGTAAGTTTTATCTAAACTTAATTTCATTAAAGAGGCTAATTGCATAGATCTCCTTGAAGCTGACTCTAATGTGTTCATCATTTACTTAGAGGGCGGATAAGATGGGGAGGGAGAGAGGGAGGTGGTACRTGCTGCCCAGAGCCCAACTTGCAGAGCTCTTGGACAAAGCACAGTACTCAGCCATCCACTGGCTCTCCCGTGTCGGGGAGAGGCAAGCTTCCCCCTGCTACTGCAGACTGGTCACCAGGTTCTCAGCATTCTTCATCTCGTGGGTGTCTCAGGACTCCTTAGAGACTGAACCTGGCAGCCTACCCTTCAGTTATGCTCAACATTGAGAAGAGCTGGGGAAAGAGCGTGGCAGGCAGCGGAAAGGGGTGTCACAGGACTGTGGGTGCAGAGCTGACCTTGGGCTGTCCACTCCCATGGAGGGAGAGGACGCAGAAGGCATGTACCTGATCAGGTTGATGTGGTTATTGAAGCCTCTGCTGAGACTCCGTGCTGGCATCTGATCCAGCCACAGCACGGGCTGGTCGGGGTCGGCCACCCTGTGAAGCAGAGTGCATGATAGCTGAGACCTCAGGAACCCAGACACTTGCAGACACGCACATAGAGCACAATAGCCTTGAACCACTAGGTTGTGGCATCCCAAAGTGCGACTCAAGCTGCAGAGTCCAACAGAGGTCCCAGGGGGCCAAGCAGGAAGCAACAAAGGTTTACCAGCAGAGCAAATGAGGACCAAAGACCCTCCACACCGGCTGGCTAGAGAGGGACCCGCCCTGCCACCCACTCAAAGCAGCCACAGGTAAGGAATGGCTCCTCAGAGACTGCCTCTTCCAGACTCTTCCAAAACTGAGGAAAGAATGCGGTGATAACAAAGGACTGGAGCCGTGCAGCACTCAGCTCCTGCTTCACAACTTGAGCTGGGTGTTTTTCCACAGAAAAAAGAGGACAGCAATTTCTGAAGGCCTTTCCAGAGAGCAACCTAACGCACAGGCCAACTATTACTAAGCCCAGCAGCATTCACACCTGCGGGTCAGAAGAGGCGCCACCTGCCCACAAGGAGACCAGGGCCTGCTCCCCCTGGCCGGTTACCTTCTCCATCGCACGGCAATGTCGAACATGTCCCTCCACTGCATCAGCCGCGTCCTCCCGCCCATGCGCACCTTCCCGTTGGTCCAGGTGCGCTGCACAGCCTGCATGACTTCCAGTGCTGCCAAGCCCATGGCTGCGAGAAGAGAGAAAGGCTGAGATGGCTCACCAGGGTGCAAGGGTGCTCACCTCTTCAATTAGGCACCAGACTCACAAGTCCTGGCCACACAGCGGGACGCACCATACAAGCCTGGCACYGTCCTCCTAAACCAAGACCAAAGGGTCTTCTCCCAGCTCCCCCAGGAAAGCAGGGGAAGCTCCCATCCTCTGAACTCCTCACTACACTATAACAAACCAAACCGGCGGCCCTGGACCACCCACCCGACCCAGAGAGGACCTGAGAGGACCTCTGTTCTGGGTCTGTGAGGGCGGGAAGTGGTGTTTCTTTCACAATTCCCCCTAAACGACTTGTCGTGTCTCTGTGGGGATTGCATGAAGGGTGAGCTCAACACATGCTATGGATATTTTTTAAAAACCAGGAAGTGGGTTGGGGTGGTGGCTCAGTGGTACAGTGCTTGCCTAGCATGCATGAGGCACTGGGTTCGATCCTCAGCACCACATAAAAATAAAGACATTGTGTCCATCTARAAACTAAAAAATAAATATWTWTTTTTTTTTWWAAAAAGCAGAAAGCAGACTGACCCTTGGCTCTTATGCTAGAAACAGCGGCATTCCAAACCAGTTCCCAGAATACCTCTGTGTATCCGCTTGTTGGGCAGAAAGCCGGGTGTTTCATACTGCATCAGTGACCCCAAACGATCAGCCACACAGATCAGTTCCTGCACTCCAGGCTTATAACTCTCGAAACTCTGATGCAGCACGTCTCTGGAAGAAACATCACTACCTGGTGAGAATTTCCACAGCAGACAAGGGTGAGCCAACCCTTAAGAGCAGACAACGGGAGATCTGCTATTACTCTGTATGTTGGATTCCTATTTCAACAATCACATTTTCTATCCCTAAAACTTTTATTTAAGATCTATTTGTGATAGTCTCTTGTTCTCTCTTCACCATTTCCTTAAGCATTTCACTCGGCGTAATTTTCAGTCTGCATCAACAACTGCAATACCCAGGTCTCAAGGTCTCAGGCTGTGGTCTATTGTTCTGACAATTTCCTTATATGGCACTAGTGACTTTGGCCCCTGGCTCTCATACCAATGATGTGGGTGTGCATGGATCCTGGGGGCCAAGTGGCACTGTTTTCCCACCAGGAAGGAAGGATTTKCATGTGCTTCTGTTAAGACCTGGGCCATGCCTCCAACAAGGATGCTTCAGCCCCTTTGTGCTSAGCAACCAAGCCTTCCTGTGCCCAGGGGCCCTGTTACTCCACTGCACTCACCCCAGGACTCTACTGTACTCAAAAAGGTGCTTCTCACCCACCACTCTGGCTTGAGAAAATGAAAAGGTCTAACTTTAGTAATTCTCTCCTTTACGGCATCGCTAGACTTCTAGGCATCCAGTTCTACTCCAGACCCAACTGTTTTGCAAAGAGCCCTTTAACATTTCCATTTTTGCCACTTTACAGCAGTAGTTGTTACTATGTAACTTTAAACTTTTGAAATGTTARATAATTTCTTATGAAAGTAACACAGTAAAAGAATCAAGGAAATCAAACCGCCTAAGTGTAAGCCGCAGGGAAAGTGAGGCTGGAGGGAAAGATGTCCATSAACAGCCTCAAAGTACTTTGCATGAAAACAGCTGAAGCCCTATGAGCTCCAGAAAGAAATCAAATGTGAACGTGGACAGGGAGCCACATGGTGATGGAGAAGGATGAGGACAGGGAGCCACGTGGAGATGGAGAAGTGTGAGGATGCAGCGGACAGGGAGYCATGTGGTGATGGAGAACAGTGAGGATACAGCAGATAGGGAGCCATGTGGGATGGAGAAGGATGAGGATGCAGTGGACAGGGAGCCACGTGGTGATGGAGAACGGTGAGGATGCAGTGGACAGAGAGCTACGTGGTGATGGAGAAGGGTGAGATGCAGTGGACAGGGAGCCACATGGTAATGGAGAAGGGTGAGGATGCAGTGGACAGGGAGCCACGTGGTGAAGGAGAACAGTGAGGATGCACTGCTGCTCAGCTCTGAAAGGTAAAGAGCATCGTGCTCCCCAGCAGCACTCACTTTATATGGGGCTGCAGGCCCGGTTGCTCCTCGTAGTCTTCTATGAGGAAGGGCAGGCTCTTTGCCCAGTGGTCCTTGAAGCTGCCAGGCAGGTCCACATCTACGCTGTACTCTGTGAGGGGCGTGTCGAGGTGTGCATGAAGGTACCGGGAGTACTCTGTGGAGGCAAAGGCAGGGCCATGCTCTCTAAGCTGCCAGCCACACAGATGCACCTAACACATTGCTGTTTAGTTTCAGGACTCCACAGGAGACCCTAAGCTTTAATAGGCCCCATTATGACATTGTAACAGGGCCACCTGACCATGATGTGAAGTGCCAKAGTCAAGGACAAGGCAGTTGACCTGGCCACCTCTGGTTACACTGTAGACACCTTCCCACAAACTACAACGAAGACCTCATCTTTCAATTCCAGAGCCTGAGAACCAAGCTCAGTGCCAGGCTGAGGCTGGGGCTCTGCCAACTGACAGGCAGATCCGTGAGGACAAGCCTTCTCCAGCACACCCTCTGCCCGTCACTGCAGAAGCACTGCAGGAGGACTAGGTGCATGGGACTGCCCCCAGCCTGCAGTCCACAAGGCCATGCTCCCTGAGCCCGGAAAAGAGGGTGAAGAGCAGGGCTGCCGAGGGGGCAGCCTGTGCCACCTGTCAAGAACACTTAGGATGAGCCTGAGGGGACAGGAGTGTATTTTTATTTGATATGAATTTAAAACTGATGCTTGGGCTGGAGCTGGGACTCAGTGGTGGACACTAACCTAGCATGTGCGAGGTCTTGGGTTGGATCCTCAGCACCACATAAAGATAAATAAATAAAGGTATCGTGTCCACCTACAACAACAACTGATACTTGATTCAATTATTAGAAAACCTGGGTAAATTTGAAATAATCTGCATATGTGAATCTAACTTTTTAGCTGTAAATTTTATGAGATCTAAATCCAGGTGAGGACTCTGCAGTGAAAGGTGGGCACAGCCTGGTCTACTCATCAAGACCCTGTAGCAGCTGGGCAAGGTGGCCACACTTGTAATCCCAGCAGCCTGGGAGGCTGAGGCAGAAGGATGGCGAGTTCAAAGCCAGCCTCAGCAATGGTAAGGTGCTAAGCAGCTCAGTGAGACCCTGTCTCTAAATGAAATACAAAACAGGGCTGGGGATGGGGCTCAGTGGTCGAGTGTCCCTGAGTTCAATCCCTGGTACTCCCCACCCCCCGCAAAAAAGACCCTATACCAAAATAACATTTTTAAAAAGGGCTAGAGCACTTGCCTGGCATGAGTGAGGCCCTGGGTTCAATCCCTACTATCACAGGGTAAAAAAAAAGAGAATATCCAAAAAAAATTTACCAAACTGAGATATAATAAAATTGTAAAATATACACCAGATTTCACTTAGTACAAAAATAATGTAAATTGCTTAATTAATACTGTTTTATGTTAATTATATGCTGAACTGGGTATATTAAATTAAATAAAATATATTATTAAAATTAATTCCACCTGCTTTTTTTACTTTTTAATATGGCTATAACAAATTTTAAATTACATACATAGGGAGCAATTTTTTTTTCTGTTGGGCAGTGATGGTGCAGAGGGCTAACAATAACAAAACAAAACTAGACAGGCCTCATCCAGGCAAGAAACACCTCTACGTGTTATGGAGAAGGTGACACTGAGTAACAGAAGGTAACTAAGATTCGTTTCCTTCCTCCCAGAGGAATTTCACTGTCCTACACAGGATCCCAGGAAGGAGGCAGGTGGAGGTGGCACCCCCTCACTCCTAGCAGGCGTGTAGAGGCCTCTCTCCTTCCCTCTGTGTCCCAGATGAGCTGCGGCCAGGCAGGAACATCCCAAAGACCATCACATTTGTTGATGTGTTTTCCCACTCAGGTAAAATGTATTTGAACTTCAGGAATAAATATTGCAGGAAGGGTAGGAAAGCATAAGCTGGCCAGAGGGGCTGGGGGCAAGGGACCCAGCCTCTCGGAGACTCTGATTCTGAAGGTCTGAGCGCTTCTTGACTTACCACGGAGGTACTTCACTTTGAGGTACTCCGGGCTAGCCTTCTGGCCCGGAAGAGGATCGTTCAGCATGACTTTGGTTTGTGCTTTTATCCCTTCATAAAACTGTCCCATGGCCACGTGGCTGAGCCCCTTCATGTACTGGCACACTTCATTATATGGCTCCAGCTGCAGACACCTCTGGGCGAGGAAACACAGAATGCCATGTCAGCACCCACGCGGCTTAAGAAACTGCAGTTCCTCATTCTTCATTCTGGGGTCTCAGACACACCTCTACTCTGTAAACTATAGGGAAAGACAAGGAATGTCCTTTTTCCTCCCATGGACTGCACACTGTCCTTGGCCCCCCCCTTCCCTAGTCACATACTCAGATCTCCAAAGAAAGACCCAGAACCCACTCCAGTGCCTCCTGCTGTGCGGGCCCACCTTGAAGTTCTTCAGGGCTTCCTGCAAGCTGCCGTGGTGGTAGAGCATCATGCCCCGAAGCTGGAGGGTCTGCACGTGATTCTGGTTGAGCAGCAGAGCCTTCTGAAAGCTCTCAGTGGCCGCTTCAAAATTGCCCAGTTCTCTATAGATATTCAACAACAGGATGAACACAGTGTAGATAGCACAGAGATCATGTAGACTGCTGAGTGGGCATGGGTAGATGCCACCTTGCCACTGAACCTGGGCAGAGCCTCTGACTCAGTGTGCTCCACCTGTGAGGCTAGCCAGGGCACAGGAGGACAACCACACAGCTCCTCAACTCTGGGACGTTAAAGCACTGATTTTCACAACGACACGCTACTCAAAACCCTCTGCCCAATTCAAAATGAGCTCTCACCCCTAAAAAAGTGAATTTTAGTAAGTAATACTAAAACACACTTTTCCCTTTGGAAAAAAGTATGCAGATTATAATCATATACAGGTTTATTGTTCTGAATCAAATTCACAGACTTAAGATTTGTTTTATTCTCATCATTATTACTATTATCTTGGTCCACTGACATTACTCCACTTAATCTAGGAAATCATTGTGTAATTTGAATTTTTTTTTTTTTTTGGTGGTGCTAGGAATTGAACCCAGGGCCTTGTGCATTCGAGGCAAGCACTTTGCCAACTGAGCTCTATCTCCAGCCCTAATTTGAAATTTTGAGAYGAAAGCATACTTTAGAATTATAAGCATTCCAGAATGAAAAATTCTTACTAACCTAATAATTTTCATATTTTGAAACTTCTACAAAGAATAGGAATAATTTCCAGATACTCTATATATCAGTTTTCTATAAATAACAAGTATTTGTTATAAAATATCTGCTTACATTCATAGAACACTTTACAAGGTGATTTYGAGTCTGTTTTCAATTTCTACTCCCAACGATTCTGTGGGACAGGAGGGATACATATGATCCCTTAAACCCCAAACAAATCCAAATGCACTTTCTCCAAGTCAGTGTAAGACAGTGTCTCAAACTACTACATCCAGTAAATAAGCTCTTCAGTTTGGCCCACCTGAGTGGGGGACCTGACAGGGAGACCCTGGAGCTCAGGGTGGTCAGAGTCCACACCTGTGGAGGGGGCCAGGATCTAGCCTGTCAAGGCCTAAGCCATGAGCCCCTCTGTCATGCCACCCGCCTCYTCTCGGGATCAGAGTGTAATCAGAGGCTCTACCAGGGAGCTCCAGGCTTGGAGCCAGGTGCCAGGTTCCAGTCACTAGTGCTCTCACCTGACAGAGGCACATTATAACCAAGATGTTCTCACCCCTTCACCTTCAAGCAGATCACGTGATRTGGAAATTGACCATATTACCATCTGAAAGTGACAGAAGCATCTACAACCCAGGAGCTTCAAAATACCAGATTCAAAATGATGACCTCAAAGAACTAAGGACCTCCTGGCCAGGAGGCCACACCCAAGGTGCTCAAGATGCTGATGTGACATACAGTTGCCTCGGTCCCAGGGACCACCCACCAGCTRCCTAGGTCCTGGGGACCACCCACCAGCACACAAATGCCCACCCAGGGCAGAATGACCCTCTCTTGGGTAAGAAACGTCATCTTCTATAACATCCTGCTCCAGGCTTCTTCCTCAGTCTCCCCGTGCCCCATGACCATGACTTACCTGTAGGCCTGCCCCAGGCTTTTATATGCATCAATAAAATCAACTTTCTGCTTCAGAGCTTCTTTGAAGGACTCAATGGCTTCCTRGAAAAAGTATGTGGAAATTATTTCATTTGCATAGCTCTTAAAATCAAGTTTCACATAATTCACTAAAGGATTTAAACAGATATTACACATGGTCCCTGACAAGAGTCTCTTTTAAATAGGTGAACTTGAGAGAGAGAGGAAATGCAACAGACTCTGAGGAGGGTTTGATTTCAGGAGTAACAAATGCACTAGAATGCACCTTCATCTGAATATAATTTCCTTCATTAATAAATGCCTAACAGACCAAAAGTAAACCTAGAAGCTGCATGAGAGCATTTGAAATGATCACATTAGCAGCGTTTAAAATCTCATCGACAAAGAGACAAAAATGTGTGTAAAGAAAGAGAAAAGGCTCCCAGGAGTGTCATCTGGGGATTCCCCTGGCCAAACAGGAAAGGAAGAACCCAGACGAGGGCCGGCATCCATGGGGCTCCCAGGGACCCTCCCCTTCCCTGAGAGCCTGCAGTATGGTGCTCAGTTCTGCTTAAGGGTGACGCCCTAGGCTTGGCCCTGAACTTGTCACCACAACTTCATTATTACTGTTAACAAAAAGACACGTCACACTGTCCCCGGGAAGAGCATCTTACTTCAGTTAACTGCCACAAAGTTGCTCTGTGGTAGCTTTAAGGAAAAGGGCTTCCCTGTAGACACTCAGGCCACTGGTGGGAGAGTGCTCCTGAAGACGCCTTACACATGATAGGCACTCTGCAAACATCTGCAAACCGCTTAGCAAAAGCAGCCCAGTCTCAACTCTTCTCAGAGAGCTATCTGCCCTGCATCTGACTATATCTGGTGGGATGGAGAGCAAGAGGCTACTCTTAATTTGGCTTCCTGCCATGGCAGAACCTTGATTTTTAAGATCTTTACAACTGTACTTTCACCAACAAGCATGTATTGAGCGCCTACTATGTGTTAGAAAGAGCTGAGGTGGGGAGGGGGGGCACAAAGATGAGCAAGTCATTATCTCTGTCCTTAAAGAATGCAGTCTAGTTAGACAGCCAACTGCTAGCTGGGTTATTAGGCGTAAAAATCAGCAGCCACAAGGAGACGGGTAAGTTTCTGGGAAGTTTCCCTTCTGAGAAGGGAACGGCCAACTGCACCAGGGGACACCAGGAGAAGCTTGGGAGGAAGTGGGAGTGCAGTGGGTCTTGGAGACAGGGCGCAGCTGATGAAGAGGGCATTCTGTGGAGGAGTGTGTGGGGCGGGGCAGAGAGTTGGGCATGTGGAGGGCGAGGGGGCAAAGGCCCACTGTGGCAGCAAGCGGGGCAACACTGCCTGCAAGAACCAGGCGCCTCGGCAGGTGTGGCCCCAGGAGACGCCACCCCAGGGAGAAGGCTGCCTGCCAGAACAGGAGGGCAGAGGGCAGAGCAGCCCAGCAAGGTCACCGTGGCAGTCCAGGCAAGAGATAATGAAAGCTTAAACAGTGCTCGAGGACAGGAGAGAAGGGTCAGGTCCAGGGGATGCGTTTGAAGGCAGACTGGGACAGGGTCTGGAGGCTAGGGGGACGGGACAAGGGAGAGGAGGGCAGGGAGCCTGAAGCTGAAGAGCTGGGCGGACTCGAGGAGTGCAGGAGGAAGGACAGCCGGGCGTGTCCAGTCCGAGTGCGTGTGGACACCTGGTGCGGTGCCCAGGAGGCACCTGCCGCCCGCTCCACTTACAGCATGCGTGGACGCCACAGTTCTTCCAAGTCTGATTCTTTCCAGCTCCTAAGAGCCTTGGGTTTCGGGGCTCCTGTCTAATCACTGCACAGCTGGCTACCTCACTCTGCCAGAGAGGGGACACAGCAGAGTCAGGATGGTAAGCCACCAGGAACAGAGAACTGCGTTCAAACGAGTTGGTCTTTACATACATGAACTGGCCCTGAATTCATACTATTGTCCCATAGTCACCCACCTGATTAATTTCTAAATTGTCATTGGCCTACAAAGACCATTTTTAGAATATAAAAACAGCTCAAACTCATTGGTAATGACTACTGAGAGTGAACACCAAAGGTTGACAGCCACCAACCCTCTGCAGCTGCTCACTGACACCAAGAATACATTCAGGCAGCTCAAAGCAAAGTCTGGTAAAAACGGTGGAGTGAATAGCATCGGACAGACTTCAAYAGAAAGACTCTGCTCTAGTTTCCCTAGGAACATCCAAAATGTCTGAGAGAGTGGCTAAGTTGGCAGTTGTGAAATCTGTAAAATGACATTGCCTAATAGCTACTGTCCCACAGTCACCCACCTGATTAATTTCTAAATTGTCATTGGCCTACACAGACCATTTTTAGGATATAAAAACAGCTCAAACTCACTGGTCCTTTCATCACTTCGGTTAATAAGAGAAACAGAAGCATCTGGACCCAATTCATGCATTAACTCTAGATTTCACCACTGACTCAGGTCCCCCCTAGGTAATGGGGATGGCCCGGCTCCTTCCATGCCTCCTATACTGCTRGGACTCCTGTGAGGCCGACCTCCCAGCAGATCTACAAGAATGCAGAAAGTGTCCCACTATGACCCTTGGGGTCTTTGTGCTAGGAGCACTGACCAAAAACCTTGGCAGGACTGATTCACAGAGAGGCTTCTGATGCCCAGTATATGAAAGCCCCGTCTCTGGGTCCTCGTCATGCTGATCCAGAATAAGCTAATCACAGCCCTCATCCAATTTGTAGTAGTGTGTCTGTTACAGCACTTCTCTAAAAATGTCACTTCCCGACAGCCTGAAGCCAGCCGCGTAGTGCCAAGGTGAAGGGAAGTCAGTCRTCTGCCTCTGTTCACTGTGAAAGCACTCTGATCTTTAACAGGATGGGCTTCTCTATGTTTTAAGCTTTCTCCTCCTCCATGAGCCACTCGAGGGTTGAACTGAGCACAGCACTGTGGGTCTGGACCTGTTCATCTAAGGTGGCTGTGTGAGAATCGTAGGAGCACAGGGCAGATTCAGAACGAAGGTCAGAGTCTCCAGGCAGCTGCTTGAGTGCACCCCGACCAACAGCTCTCCAAGCCAGTCTGTCTGAAGGACGAGACTCTACTGGGACCACCCTCCACTCACCAGCCAGGGCATGTGAGTGCAAGACACAGAATGTGCAACATCCTTCTTGGTTTTGTTTTTGTGGGATGAAGGTTATTTTTCCAGAATCTATACAACCTCGACTTCCACAGGGAAAACATTCATAACGACACCCGATTCCCATTTAGAGTTCAGAGAGCACTTTTCACACACAGTACTGTACTTAGTCCTCAGTCACTTCAAGGGCGGACAACAGGAGAGGCTGGTAGAAGGGTTCAGGAGCGTGGCCTGCAGCACAGCTAAAAACTTCAGAGCAAGACCTTCCAAGGCCAGATTCAATGCTGTACTTGAAATCTATTCATCCGATCCTGTTTGAGAACCTGCCACATGGCAGGCCCTGTCCACAACACTGACACCAACACATGGCTCTTCACAGGGTACTCCGCCCATCCGTACTGCATGCACAACTGTCCCTCGGTGTGGCAGGTACCGAGGCCTGCAGGGTACCGAGGCCTGCCGAGGCCTGCAGGCGCTTAGGTGCATGCAGCCCACGCCCTCTGTGCACTTCAGGTCTTCTCCAGAAGCTTCCACTCCTCCTGGATGCCTCCTCCACAGGCTGCGGGACAGGGCTATGCTGAGCTCTCCAGGAGATGAAGGCAGGAGGTCCACGTTGCTCAGTGCCACACAATGCTTCCTCCAAGTACAGATGTGGGACCCACAGATACAGAGGGCCATGTGTGTCGGACCCTCAAGTCCCCAGAACTGCTTTCAGTGACAAAAGGCATGTTCTATTTGCCACAGCACACACCTGCCCTGTGCTGCTGCCAGTCGCAACACAGACCCCAGACCAAGAGCCTTCCTGCCACCCTCCGTCACCTCCCCCCAGTGCCCTGTGGTCCTCGAGCCACACCAGCCCAGCAGCACCTTCCTCCTGCTCCCAGAGCACCTCGGCAGTTCCTCAAGGCCTCCTTAGGCACAGGGAACACCACCAACACCCAGTAGCCRGTCTGTGTCACTCCTCACTGTGGCCACTACAATCTCCAAATCTACTTCCTAAATCAGAGATTTTGGTTCCAATTATAGATTTTCCCCATCTTCAACTCACATAGCTTCTCTGGGTTCACAAGATTCAGTCAGAATGCTCAGCACAGAGTCCAGGCTGAGGCCTGGCCTCCACCAACACCCACCCGCTGTGCCTGCTCTGGCCCCTCACGGCCCCCAGGGCCTTCTCCCTGCCTCCCCCCTGAACTCTGCGACGCACTCCGAGAGTGCAAGTGCTACTTCTCCCTCGTCATCTTGCATCGTCTCCCTTACTGCACCTCCAAGGACCTCGCTGCTATCGTTTGGAACTAGAATGTGCCCCAGAGTCTCCCGTGTTAGAGGTGGGGCCTTTGAGGGGTGATTAGACCAGGAGGACTGGGCCCATCCATGAATCAATCCGCCAATGGCAGAAGGGATGACTGTGAGCAGGGCCTCRCTGGCGCGCCCTGGAGGTTTATCTCCTCCAAGCCCTTCCCCTCTCTCTGCTTTYTGGCTGCTAGGAGCTCAGCTCTCCTCTACCACTATGTTTTGCGTCAGCTGGGGCCCTGGGCAATGGAGCTGGCTGACCAAGAACTGGAACTCTAAAACCCTAAGCCCAAATAAACTTCCTCCTCTCGGGTGTTTTGATTGGGTATTTGGGTCACAGCAATGCAAAGGTGACTGACACACTGGCATACAGTAGGAGCTCAAGAAATATCAGATGATTTTCTAGGAGAGACCAATCAGACACCCGAGATGCCTTCTTAACATGTGTCATGCTGAATTCCACTGAAGCCCCTRTCCCCGCAAAGCGCAGTGCACCTGCGCTACAGAGCACCGTCACCTTGAGAAGCCCTCTGTGGAAGAAGGTCAGGCCTTTGTACAGCATGGCTGTAGGCTGGTTCCTGTTCAGCTCCAAGGACTGCTCGAAGTCCTCGTGGGCCGTCGCGTAGTCCTGCGGGAGGGAGGGGAAACCGCGAGGGGTGGTCAGATGGTGGGACGCCTCCGGCCTCTGACAAGCAGAGAAACCCCACTCGTCCTGTGTCCTCAAGGACTCCACAGGGAATAATTCCTGGCCACACTCAGATCATTTGTTCGTAGCTGATTTTCAAAGAGGTTTAATTCAAGTCTTTTATCTCAACTACAGAAAGAATATTCTGGGTACTTCTGAAATACCAGGCCATGGGTCCAACCTGGCTGAGGCCCTTTTCACGTATCGTCCCACAAGAGCAGAGGTGGCACTCACGAGGTGCACAGAGGACGCTCCTGCCAGTCTGGGCTGCTCACGCAGACCTGTACCGAGAAGCCATGCRAGCTCAGGCCAGGCTCCTCAGGACGCTCAGACAGACCCATACGGCCGCACGCCTTGCTTCCCTCTGCTAACATCTGCAAGAGGAATGGAGGCATCACCCTGAACCAGACTTCACCTCTTCTTACCTTTTTCTTTTTAGGTACTGGGATTGAACTCAGGGGCACTCGACCACTGAGCCCCATCCCCAGCCCTATTCTGTATGTTATTTAGAGATAGGGTGTCCCTGAGTTGCTTAGCACCTTGCTTTTGCTGAGGCTGGCTTTGAACTCATGATCCTCCTGCCTCAGCCTCCAGAGCTGCTGGGATTACAGGTGTGGACACTGTGCCCAGCCTCTTCTTACCTTTTCTATCAGCTAACACTTWGTTGCTAACAGCTTAGAAGAGAACATGTGATTTGGATATGTCCCTTTGTCTACCAGGCTTCTGGGGCTGTGCTGTGGCACCGGGGTCTTACAGCCCAGGCAGATGGGGGCAGGAGAGCTCTGCTCAGCAGCACGAGACACCAAGCACAGCCACTCACCTCAGAGATGAAGTACAGRGTCCCCCGGTGCCTGTACAGCCGGGCTGATGGCTGGAGCTGAATGGCTTTGGTGAGATCACTCACTGCTTCGTTAATTCGTCCCAGAGGGGACAGAATCTGGAAACCCAGAAAAAGTGATCAGCGCTGAGCTGACACTGGCTTCTGAGTCCCCCTGACCACACACACACCAGCTGCTCCCTCAGCCACATCCTCTGAGGGTGCGAGGACCGAGAGCTGAGAGGCCTGAACCCTCTTCCAGTTGGGGGAAGAATGAGCAGCTGCAACCATAGTGACAGTCCCGACACTATCTCACCCTCAGGGGACCCAGAGGTGGCTTTTCTTGAAATCTGACCCTTTTTGCAGGGACTATATATACCTTTCAAAATTTGGCAAATACAAACAAGGTTGTGGAAACTCATCTGAATGACAACTTCTATCATTAGCACAGGCAAGTCACTGGGCAGAGGTTAGAGTTCTCTGAGGTCTTCAGCTCTGTCCTCTGTGGGAATGGTAGCTGCTCTCTCAGAGCCCAAGTGCTGCCCACCCCTCACCCATGGTCCGCTCTCCTGCGACTCAGAGTCCAGTCGCTATTGGGCAAACTGACAGCACAGACAGCCAGCATCCACAGGGCGAAGGTGACTAAAGAGGCTCAGGGCACCAAAGGGCACCGGCAGCCACACAGCTGGACCCAGCCACGTGTCCAATTCGAGGTCTGCTGGTGGCAGGGGCCTTTAGCCCATGCTGCCAGCTGTTCCACGCTCTCCAAAGCAGCACGGGGGGACAGGGGACGMGCCACCCCCAGCACTCAGTATGGCACCTGGCGCTCAAGGGCAGCAGTGGGCAGGCTGCACTGGGGAGGGACGGGCCTCCTCACTGRCCCAGGCACCAGGAAGCACACCTTCCAGGCGACCGGAGCACAGGACTAGTGCTCCAGGGAGGTGCCCTGCCCAGCGTGGTGCCCTGCTTATCGAGGCTGCTCAGGGAGCTTGCGCGACACCAGTGGGGGCCGAGATCTGGCTGTGAGACCCACTCTGGGCCACTCCTGCCCAACCATGCTGTACGAGGAAAACAGTACTGTGCGGCCACGATTGCCAAGACTGTTTCTGGATAAGTAATTAGTTCTCTATCAGGAGCGGGAAGCGCTGAAGCTGCCAAGTCTCAGCACCTTAACCGACTTCGCGACTCATCAGACCAGCGCAGGGTAACCCCAGCTGCCACGCAGGGCCCAGGCCGGCCCTGGCCCCCCCCAAGGCAGTGCAGCGCTGGGGGACGACAGGTCACACAGATGGGTAAGGAAGACACCACCTGAAACCCAAATCCCTGGCTAAATGCGAATCCCACTTTAAGAGAAGGGACMGTGAGACACTGAGCATGGACACCACGGAGGAAGCTTCCAAAGCCCCGAGTACACAGCGCTCCTGCGCTTTCTCTCCCCAAAGAGGAAGCAGAGATCTTTCTTCTTAGTCCAGCTATGAGATCCCACCAGGTCAGACGCCTAAGGTCAGGTGTCATTCAAGGCAAACGCGTCAACAGGATGATCAGGGGCCATGGCTACCTGAGGAACACAGCACACCATGCCCCACAGCACCCCCTTGTGCCCAGCACTCCCGTGACAAGTCGGACTCCTCAGGTCTGGCCACAGTCCCCCTTACCTGCTCTGTGCGTCTGGGTAGGCAGGTCCTTCTTGTAAGAGCCACAGGGCTTTACATTTCAGTTTGACCAAACTGTCACATTACGTTTTGTTGAAGAGTATCATGTACACCAGAAGTACGTGTGCAACGTGTCTGTAGTGACCACAGACGGAGGCAGCGCAGGTCGTAACTGCATCCTTGAACCCTAAGCGTCACTGCTGGACGCTCAGTTCTCACTGCTCCAGCAACACCAGCCACACTTACAGGCACTAGGGCCTCCGTAGGAAAGCCACAGGCGTAGGGGGTGACAGTCACCATGATAAGACAGTAGGGGAAGATCCAAGTTCCATTAACCCGATAAAGACAGGGGAAAAGAAACCGCACTCACTTCTGCTCGCTGCTCAAACACCTCTGGGCGGTCTGGTTCCAAGGCAATTACTCGGCTCAGCTCGAACAGAGCAAGCTCAGCATTCTTAATGTCCTTGAAAAGGCATTAGCTGGGTATGAGAAAGACTGCGGCTGGAAAGCAGGTGGTGTTGTTCAGAAACAGACATGCACTTCATTTCTGTGTAGCGACAGTGCCTCAGCCCACTCCTCTCCCTTCCTCCACTGATCTGGCCGCCTGTCTCAGGTCCCACAGGCAACAGGCTCCGCTTAACTGTAACCTACCTACATCTGGAACCAACTGACCTCAAGGTTGGGCATGTGGGCACCTGTCTACGTGCTGCTGACCAATGGCCACAAGGGACAGAATGGGGCCAAGTGCCCATCAAAGTCACAAACCCAGAACCCGCACCTAACAAGGCCAGGGGAGCTCTCTTTAACCGCTGCATATTACTTTCACATAAAAAGTATCATTAAAGATAAAGCAAGCTGCATATCAAGATGCAAAATTTTAAAAGGTAAGAATCAAAAAAAAGGGGCTGGGGATGTGGCTCAAGGGGTAGCGCGCTAGCCTGGTATGCGTGCGGCCCAGGTTCGATCCTCAGCACCACATACAAACAAAGATGTTGTGTCCGCCGAAAACTAAAAAATAAATATTAAAAATTCTTTCTAAAAACAAAAAACAAAAAACAAAGAATCAAAAAAAAAAAAAAGCCTGTTTCTAAAGTTTCCTCCAGGGCAACTTCAACCCAAGGACTTGCTATCTGTGTTTGTAAGCATGATCCAGCCTGAACTCACTCTGGACTTCTGTTGTCTCGGAAGTGCACAGATGCTGCATAAAATTTCACTAGCAAGCCAGCACCCGTTTAATTTTTTAATTTTAATGTTTTAATAAATTTTAACTAAAACGTTCATGATTCAGCAAAGTGCAATGGCGCACACCTGTAACTTCAGCAGCTCGTGAGGCTGAGGCAGGAGGATCACGAGTTCAAAGCCAGCCTCAGCAAAAGTGAGGCGCTAAGCAACTCAGTGAGATCCTGTCTAAATAAAATACAAAATAGGGCTGGGGATGTGGCTCAGTGGTCAAGTGCCCCTGAGTTTAATCCCTGATACCCATCCCTAGAAAATGTTGATGATTCAGTATTTTTAATGCAAAAGTTACAAAAGTGGCATTTACCCCTCAAAACACATTTCCATATGAATATTTTTATTAATCAAAAGGAAAACAGGAAAGCTTTGTGCACAGTGCTCTGGAGTGAGAGTCCAAGAGTGGAGTCTCAGGCCAGTTCCCGATGAACTCCAGCCTGCAGACAGCGATGGTCACCTGGGGCTGCTCATATGAAATATGCATGAGGTAGCTTTCCTCAGAGAAACGTGGACATCACTGATGGCAGCTAAAGATACCACACTGTATGAAAAAGCATGGAAATATAGCATGTAGGGCTGGGCTGCGGCTCAGCCTAGAGCGCTGGCCTAGCATGTGTGAGCGCTGGGTTCCATCCTTAGCACCACAAAAACAAGTTAATTAAATAAAGGTATCATGTCCGCTTACAATTACATTTTTAAAAAATATAGCAAGTAAAAATAGAGTCTGCACACTCAACCCCCCATTCTTTTATTCAACCCCCTGTAATACCTGGAAAGCTACAGCTCTAAGTCCTGCTACCCCGCAAGGCCTCCTCAGCTCCCGCTGGTGCTCTGAGGTGCGCCTGGCCCCGGCTTTTCCTGGTCTTGGAAGGCCTCTGGCCATGGGCAGACCACCCACTGCCCTTTCACATGTGTCCCATCAGCTCAGTGGACAGAAAGCAGCTGTGGCAGAGGCTGGTGGGGGTCGGGCGGGGGCTGGGCGATCGTGACTACTCATACTCACATGTAGGCCCTTCTTTCCATAGGCTATCCCTCGGCCATAAATTGCACTAACCAGATCAGGCTCCTCCTAGTCAGACCAAAACAGAAACACGTCAAAAACTATAAATGAAACAAAAGAAAAAAATCAGTTTCTGCTTAAAGCACGTTATTGCCTCAAGTGGCCGCTCTCCTTCATGCTGTCCCACTMCTCGGTCTGCAGCCCGGACCCAAAAAGCCTGTCTTAGCCTCATTTGAATGAGATACRATACAAATTTTGCACTGAAAACCCACAGAGAGGGCAGGGACCCAAGGCCACATTTCTCAYACAGGGGTCTCACTCTTAGCCACTCTGACAGCTGCAGCTGCTTGTCCTGGGGTGGGGGGGGAGCTGAAGGCTCGGCAGGAGGGCAACATGAGGGGGACAGGAGGACCTCTGCTAGCTCTTTCCCTGCCCAACGAGAAACCTCCTGAGGAGGCGGCAGCAGCAGGAGGGCAGGTGTGCTGCGCCCTGTGGGCTCCTCTGGCCTGAGCGCTCCCTGCTCGCTGGGCCGCCTGGCCAGGGAGCCCTTCTCACAGGCCTCCAGTCCACAGCCAGCCTCTGCAAGTCACACCTCTCTTCTGAAGCCTTTGCTACAAAGTCCTGGTCACACTCCTGAGGCTGAGAGTCTTAGCTACACAGGATGCTCAGTTTCAAACCTGAGGCGGGCGATGAGCTGGTACCAGAGGGAAAGAACACATCAACCTCAACGAGGAGCCAAAGGAGAAGGAGAAGGAGGGGCTGCAATGCAGAGAAGCTTGCTAAAAGGCTACTCACACAGTACAAGGACCATCGGTACCAGGGGCCAATGGCACGTGATGGCCATGACCTCATCAGCAGACTGGCCTATACGACTTATGCACCATCACAAAACCTCAACCAAGTGATTCCAGGTGCTGGCTTCTGGAACCTCAGCAGACCCAGCCAAGACAGGCCCGTGTCCAACAGCCCACCCAGAGCTAAGCACTGGCTGCCTCTTCAGACGGGGCTTCACGGTCGTCAGCTTCTGGTGCCACTGCCACTGCCCCACAGAGCCTCCTCCCTACACGCAGAGCTCTGAYGTGTGGCACTGCCACTGCTCCACAGAGCCTCCTCCCCACATTGGAGCTCCGATGTGTGTCCTRTAACGTTCAGGGAAATGGTGCGTAAGAAACCCTGCTGTTTGTGGAGGGGAAAGACGTCCAGGCCACAGGCCCACAGAGGCCCACAGGACTGCTAACTAATGCAGTGCAGAGGGAGGCTCCCCAAACACTTGCCACTCTCCAGCAAGCAGTCACTAGCATGCTGTGTTCCTTTCAGCTGTTTAAAGCACACATTCATTCATCCACAATCAGAAAAAAGACATGTTAAGCAATCTACGTATTTCAGTACAGAAAGCCTAGAGGATGAAGAAAAACACAGAAAGAGAGAGAAAGGCTCCCTGTGGCTCTGCCCCATGAGGCACTGTGAGTGGGGGCATGGGATGGGGTACAGAGATGGCGGGCAGGGGAATGGGGTACAGAGACGGGGGGCAGGGGATGGGGTACAGAGATGGAGGACAGGGGATGTGGTATAGAGACGGGGGCAGGGGATGGGGTACAGAGACAGCGGGCAGGGCGGGCAGGACGCAGGCTGCCTCCCGAGGGCGCGGAGGACACTGCCCTCCTGCTTCTCAGCAGCAATTCCTGCCGTAAGAAGTACAGGGCCCAGAAGAGCACCTCGCCACGGCGGGCAGGACGCGAGCCCACACGGCCCAACTGCGGGAGGACGTCTCTCTGGAGTGAAGCCTGGCTCTGCTGGTATTAACCTGAGCACAGGTTTATCCAGAGGAGCAAGAGACCAGTGAGAAGAAGGTCCATGTACACAGCACTCTGCTGCGGGGACTGCATCCCCAACACCTGCCACCAAGGAGCCTAGTTACAGCCTTCTCGCCAGGCAGCCACAATGTCTTCCTGCCTCCCGAGACTACACGGCTCTCCTTCAGACAGGCTCCTGCGTTATCCACGGGTGGGACCTCAGCCTGCCCCGTCCACACTGACCACAGTGACCTTTCAAGCACCCACTACAGGAYATTCTGCACTACCAGTGAACACATGCATAATGTCACACACACAGCAGGACATGCTGCTTGGCCATCGCAGTCKTGCTTTCTGTCCAGTACAGTCTGATGCTTTCCAGCCTGACGCCCCCCATTGTTTAAGAACACCAGAGCCCATGACTTGAGTGTCAGTGAAGCCATGCTGCGATGCCCTGTGATGCCRCTGGTGGCTGTCCACCCAGTCCTCCTCCCCCGCTCCACTTCACACTCCAGAACCTCGCCCCATTCGTGCACGGGACGTCTCACTCACAGCCTCTGCCCAATGCACCTCTCCAGACCCCTTCCAGATCCCTAGGAGGCAAACAGGCTTTCCTTTCGCTTCCACTGTGTGCAGTATGGATGTCGGCACCTCACTCCATGCTCTCTCAGGCCGCTGCTGCAGAAGCAGGGTCCATGTGAGAGACTGCCCTGCAGAGCCCTGAGCAGGAACGTGAGCAAAGCCCCAGAGAAAGCGARGGAGCCCTGCTTTCTGGGAGCACAGCCAGACAGCCAAACCAGAGACAGTGACTCCCCAACAGGCGGTGAGTGGTGCTCCGGGAAAACCAAGACCTAGACAAGGTTAGGAAGGGCTTCCCATGGGAGAGACCACTGGGTTGGGATGGCGGGGGTGAGGGGATCCCGCAGCTGTGCAAAAATGCAAGAACTCGAGGAGCAGGGCTGCTGGCCCACGATGTGGGAGCAGGGGCAGAAAGGGCTGGAACAGGGTCTGCGCACTCCAAGCACACCTGAGGATAACCAGCATGTGCAGGCAGGGGGACAAGGCAAGCCCAGTGTGTGGTCATCTGGCAGTGGACAGTGGCCTGGGTGTGGCAGCGCAGGGAGGGCAGCGTGGACTGTGGAGACTCTCAGGAGGTGCAGAGCGTGTGGGRCTGAAAGAGGCAGGAGATGGGTGAGTGCAGCCACGGACCCACTACCAAGGGAGGGGGCAACAGGGAGCCCCACGTGGGCCTGAGAGTCACAGGGGCACACTGACGTCATACCTGCCACTGCGACTGTAGCATCCTGACATGATCTCTTTGTTTTCTGTGATGCCTGGCACACGACAGACCTTGCCAAGTGGAGTTACCATTTAGCAAGGACAATGAGAGTGCATCAGGCAGCTAGGAAACCCTGATGAGGGTTAAAGGAACATCAGATCAGAGTCCACCCCACTGGGCCAGCTCTTCCTAAAGGACAAGCTGCAGGATGGTGGCTGAAAAGGGTGGGGTAGTACAGTGAGGAAGGAAAAGGCTGGCGCAGGCAGCACGAGGCAGTGTGGCCAGTGAGCCCTAGAGATGGCCAATGCTGAGCCTCTACCCCATGCTGATCCTCCACCAACCATGCTGAACCTCCACCAACCATGTTGAGCCACCCCAAGCTGGGCCTCCACCCCAAGCTGAGCCTTCACACCAAGCTGAGCCTCCATCAACCATGTAGAGCCACCCCAAGCTGGGCCTCCACCCCAAGCAGAGCCTCCACCTCCATCTCCATGCTGAGCCTCCACCGTGATGGCCCTGATGGTTCTCCACTGAGCACATTTGGGCCTTTTGAAAGTCTACACTAGTTGCTTTGTGCATGCTGCCGACCCCTGAACTCAGCCCTGGCCTCCCTGCTCCACATGCAGCCCGTGGCTAAGCCCTCCTGAGCCACAAGTTCTGCTCCTCACACACTGAACAAGCTCCCGCACGCGCTGTGAAGTGTTTAGGTTTCTCTACTCATTTAGCCTGTCTTTTTAGATTTTCCTAACAGCACAGAAGGATGTGTAAGAATTTTGGCTGTTATCCTATTCAGAGTCTAAATTGTTCCTAAATTTATATAATAGACTTTATACTTTCTAAAATTGATACAACTCTATCTAATACTTTATCTATCACTAGTTTCAGATGTTAAGAAGTGAAAACTTTTATTTGTGAAATGTAGTAGTGAATTATTGGTTTTTCAGCAGAAAAAAACAACATTCCTTAAAGTAAGTTGGGGTGAGAGTATCAGTTTTTCAAAGTATTTTTAAGTATATGAGTCTAATACTTTGTACATTATGAAGTTTTCAGAATTCCAAAGTTAAATGAAAATTAGCATTTAGTCCTCTAATTTTACTTTACACAACTGCAAAATCAGAAGATAGCCCTTCAGTGGAGCATGACCCTTGGAGCCTGGGCCTGCCTGGCAGGGAACCTCCCAGGGCTCCTCACAGTGACCTGGGGGCTCACCACATGAGCTGTGCGACGGGTGGCCTCTGATTCCAACAGGCAGTTGCTATGTCCAAGATGAGTGAACCAGTCCCGGAGCACCGGTGGGAGGCACGTGTCTAYTCGAGGACTATTTTTAAATGCTACCCACCCAAGTAAAGCGGAATTCTGTTACAACCTCAGTTCCTCCAGAAATGAATCAGAACCAGCAAGCTCAAGGTCACCTGAGCAGCAGCCCTGCCCTGGGACAGAAGCCCAGCAAGTGGGAAGCGGTTCCCCTCCCAGAGACCATGCTGCTGGCCACCTACACAGTGGGAGAGCTTCAGAGTCATGGGCCCAAGGCCACCTGTCAGCTTCCATGGTGCCTGGGCCCAGGGAGAGGCCAGGATGCAGGAGGAGTGCATTCTCCATTACAGAAGCATCAAACCACAGGGTGGATTCCAGTGGGCCCCCGGGGATGCCCAGGATCACTGAACATCTCAGACTCTCATCCCGATGGTGCAGCCCAGGCAACAGGAGGGCACGCGAGCTTCTTGCCACAGGTCACACTGGAAAATGAGGAGCCTCGTTGCAGCTCTGAATTTCACTGCAACAATCTTATCCAAACAGACCCCTACGATTCAAGCTCCCGGGGCCCACGATCAGCACACTGTGATGGACTCAGCCATACTTGCTGTCTTGTGCTGCAGCCAGGCCYGTCCAACAGAAAAGCTTTGCCACATGTTCCTGAGCTCAAGAGACCACAGCCCTGGGTGCAGTCACCACAGGGAAGATCTGTCGGGACCATTCCCGGCTAAAGAACAGATTTTTTGCACACTTGGAAGCAGCTTAGGACTGAACTCAACTGCGGCCCTGTGACAAAAAGAGGCAGAGCAGTCACACCTGCTGAGTGCAGGACATGAGTSGCCAGGAGGAAGTCAACTACACTATTACAAGAAGCTTCATCACTGAATTTTCCCATTAAAATGAAAAGAGCCAGGTGTGGAGACCTACATCTTAATCCCAGCAGCCCAGGGGGCTAAGGTCAGAGGACTATGAGTTCAAAGCCAGCCTCAGCAACTTAGTGAGGCCCTAAGCAACTCTGCAAGACCCTGTCTATAAATAAAGTATAAAAAAGGGCTGGGGATGTGGCTCAGTGGTCAAGTGCCCCTGTTCAATCCCCAGTATTAAAAAAAAAAAAAAAAAGAAATGAATAATCAGAGTTTGAAGAATGACCATGATTTTAAAACAGTTGAAGAGGCTGACTTATCCAGGTGGAGATCCAGGGTGAGAAGAGGAGTCCTGGTCAGCTGGAGAAGCAGACTGACTACTCTCTGGACACCTGCCACCACCTGGTTGAACAGCACCTTGGTGACAGTAGCTACAGAAAACCTCAAGAAACCCACAGGAACTTTGCATATCGATTCAAAGTTAAAACCCAATGTAGAAAAGTTCTGTCCAGAAAACAGGATCAAGTTCCTTATTAAAATTTTTGGAAAACAAAACAAAACACTGGTAGCATTTAATATTGAATCTTTGTGTTTTCTAGGCTTTATCATAATCACATACAAGGAAGAAAACACGACGATTTCCACTACCCTGTCTGGATGCCTCTCCTCTCTCCTGCTTACCCCATGTCCATGACCTGGGACAGGTGGGAGCACTGAGAGACCACCAGGACAGCACGGGGCGGCCGTTCTGCACCTGAGCTGCCCACTGTTGCCCATCACGCCCGACCTCAGAAAGGCAGTCTGACCTCGCCGTTCACACATCACACCTCTGGGGAGAGAGCCACCACCTTATCCCAGAGTGACAAAAGCTGTGTCTCATGTCAACATACTCCTGTCTTTCCTTTGCACAAAAGAAACTGTGATCATCTTTCTGAGCCTCCACCCCAAGCTGATGACCGGGAAGTATATTCTACATTGTGATGGCCATCAAAGGCACATCACAGAGCCATGGAAATCACAGATTACAGATGAACAGTAAAAAACATTTAAACTATGAAATTAAGTTCAAAACATCCAAAGTGTATAGTATGTGCTCAGGCTATAAACACAAATGCACACTTCAAAAAAGGCAAAGAACAAAACATTTAAATAATGTTAAGACTGTCAGAATTAGGAAATTTTTATTTTAAAAATTTTTCTTCAATATTGTCATCAATTACAAAGATAATAACATTTTCTAAGAGTTGAATGAAAGACAATGGGTCAGCAAGCAGCTGTGGTTACTATGTTACACTTCTCTGGACAGATGAAGCAAAACTGCTTTCAGGCCAGGATCCTGCAGCCCAGGATAAAGTGGGGCCCACCCTTTGCAATGCTGCAGACTACAGAGGCGATTCCAGCCTAGGTTACTTCTGCATTCCAATTCCACATGACCCCCAAACACAGAGCTGCTCCATCTAAGGAAGGGCCTCAAAGTCACAACCAAAAATATCTCATCAATTTGTTGAGAAAAGAGAATTACCAAATTAATCCTAGGTTCTGAAAAGGAAAACAAAAGTAGAGCTGACACCTCACAAACAGTAATTTGGAATCCCATCCTAGACGGTCAGACCTTTGCTGGCTCCTGCTGTGGTCAACACTGACACATTTACTAGAATGCACTCTGAGTAGCTAAAGCTTACTCAGCACCTGACTGTGTGTCAGCACTGAGTGCTCAGTGCTAACCCATCTCCTTCTCTGTAGCGCACCAGGCAGACAGCTGGCACACTGTGGCAAGGACAGGCAAGCACCAAGTGAGACCATGTAAGGCCCCCTCAGTCCCCCTCAGCTCCCGCAGCCCCCCTCAGCTCCTGCAGGACCCCACTCAGCTCCTGAAGGCCCCCCTCAGCTCCGGAAGGCCCCCCCTCAGCTCCCGCAGGCCCCCACTCACCTCCAGCAGGCCCCTACTCAGCTCCTGCAGGACCCCTCAGCTTCTGCAGGACCCCTCAGCTTTCGTAGGACCCCCTCAGCCCCCCTCAGCTCCTGCAGGACCCCCTCAGCTCCTGCAGGTCCACATACAGGCTTTCTCCTCTGTGGATGCCACAGAGCAACCAACCCACAAAGGCTCCTTCCTTAGCTAAGGTGGCTTGGTCATGTTTAAAGTGAATGGAAATGAAGTCAGCCTGCAAACTCCATGCAGGAAGGGGCTGGAGCGTCAAGAGTCCCTATCTCAGGGGAGGTGTGTGCCTAGGAGAGGAACCTGGAGCTGCTGTCTTATCCATCTTGCATCTGAATGCCACTCTGCTACCAGACAGCTGGGAGACAGTGCAGACTGACTGGCTCAATGGACTCTTCTCCTCTTTTAAAAAAAGTAACCCTGCAAAGCCTAGCACCAGGGCAGTGCATGGTCAGCACTGACATCTCTGCTGCTTGGAACCCTACAAYAGAGCGTCCCGTGGCATTCGGCTACGCAGGAGCCCATGCTTTTATCATGATTGTAAACCTGAACTACATAAATAAGAAGAAAAATTACCTGAAGCATTGTTGAGAAATGCCTTATTGCTTCATCGTAGAGACCACTGCCAATCAACACATAAGCAATTGCTGTAAAGTAAGACACACAAATGTTAAGGACAGAATCAAGGGCTCTGACAGCATCAGGGCTGAATGCTCGGGTGACACGCAGGGACAGCTGCAGGGCTGGGAGCAGCAGGGCCACTGGACTCTCCACTCCCAACCCGGCACTGGCTAGCCAGCCTCAGGGCCTCCAGCTGTGGTGATGGAGGTCTCCAGGCTACCTTCTGTTTCCCACATCTTTACTGGTGTGTTATAGTTGCACACAATGGCAGGGTCTGTTGTCACATATTCATACGTGCAATACTATCACTCACTTTCAAACCCCAGAGACCTTTGTGATGTCTCCTGCCTATATGCCAGGGAGCGGGGAATGGCCCAAGCACTGTGGCATAGCGTGGGCCTGTTTCTTCATTATGAGCATTCAGAGAAATACTGACGGCCTCAGGAATCTGTTCCTGGGGTGCTGAGCCCACTGCCTGCTCCCCAGCTAAGATGCCTGGCAGTGCTGAGCCGGGTGACTCSCCCAGCAGACAGGCTCTCCCCCCCGCAACCAAGACACAGCCATGGCCTGCGAAGGACTCACACAGAGGAAGGCAGTTCTGATCTAAGGGTCGGGAAAGTGGTGTTCTGAAATCAGAGCTATGGAAACCTTCTGAGACACAGTGACATTCTGACTCCACTCTCACCCAGCAAACTGCCAACAAGCCAGGGTGGTGGCATATGCCCGTCACCTCAGCACTGGAGGACCATTTGAGTCCAGGAGGCAGAAACCAGCCTGGGCAGCACAGCAAGACTCCATCTCAAAAGCCAAAACAGAGACCAAAACACATGAATAAGTCACAACATTCAGGTTACATTCCACCTGTGATATTTGCTCTAATCCTCCCCCACTTCCTAATTCCTGAAAGATATTTTGGTCCTCATTCAACGTAGTGACTATTTTGATGACATTTTTTGCATAAAAGCCATCTGTTTCTGGACCTAACGGGTGCAGACAGGCAACTCACTGCTGCTGTTGAGAGCACACACTTCCTGCCAAAGAGAAGCAACAAACACTTAACAGAGACACACTAAATGAATAAAGAAATTTAGAAAAATCTTTGAAAGTGCCCAAGAAAAATAATAGCTCAAAAAAACTGAGCATAATACACCAGAGCTTTGGAGCATTCTCCAAAACAAAACAAARGCTGAAATATCTCATCAATTTGTTGAGAAAAGAGAATTACCAACTTAATCCTAGGTGTAGAGAATGGAGTTGTTTTGAAAAGATAGATTAAGGCCAAACTCATGTTCAGAAGAAGAATGGACAGCACCTGGGTATTTTCTCAATGGGGAGGTGGACATCAGGAGCTGGCTCAGTCCTGCCCCTTTGCCACATCAACTCCTCATTCCCTAGCTGCAGGGAGGGACAATCTGCAGACGAGGACATGAGGCTGTGGTAACTAGAAGAGCTGGGGTGACTGAAGCCAAACAGCCGTGAGTTAGGCCAGTGAACCAGGCCCTGGTGCACAGCTTGCCTCCTTACCACTGGCTGTACAGAAGCAGCACAGGTCCATCCTGGGGACCCCATGTGCGGGCTGCCTTGCAAAYGCAGAGGCACAGGGACAGAACTGCAGGGAGCTGGACTCCAGTTCAGGTCCACATGGTCCTGGAGACCTCAGTCACTTCTCACCATGTCAAGACCCACCTACCTACCTACCCAAATCAGCAGTATCTCTTGAATGAACAAATGAATAGAGATTATAAAAAACAAGCAGAGGAGTTTAGGGGAAAATGTACTTTAGGACTATATTTAAATTTTTGTCCAAGGCTTGGCTATTCAATTCCACTCGAATAACATCAAATGCAATTCCCAAATCTTTCCATCTAAAGAAAAAACCCAAAGTTTAAAAAAAAAAACCTAATCCAAAACACTCACAAACATAAATAACTAGTAGAATCTAAGTTTTGTTGTGGGAAAACAAAGTCATAACAGATAAATGAAGAGCTATAATTCTCAGCAATCTCCACCAGCTAGCACCTCCTAGCAACTCTATACCACAGAAGACATTCCTCCAGGAAGAATCACTGTCCCTCGAAAGACCCCAAACTCCTCAGGGCCCATGGGAAAAACTTCACCACTGTGTCTGCTGCAGGGACCCAGCGGCGGGTGAGGTGTGGCAGTGGCCTGTCCGCGCCCCTCTCTCCCTCCCTTCAGGTGAGCTCACTAGGCCATGAGGAGGCACACCCAACACACACCAGAAACTGTGCAAATCYGAATGAACTCCGTTCTCTACTCCCACATCCTCACACCCATAACCGTGGATTGGCCTCAGAAGTAAAATATTCTTGAACTCTGAGACTGAAGCAGATGTCCCAACACTCCATCCTGCCTTCGCTTCTTGATGACAAGCACCCAGGTGACCGACCATCTGCTACACAGCCAGAGCTAAGGACTGTTAAGTCCACGCAAACACAGGGCTGCAGTGGCACCTACTGATGGCTGCACACAAACCTTCTCTTAAAAATGACATCCAACAAGTGGAACCTCCGCGGGGCCAGAGGCACCGTGCAAGATGCAGCCCTGCTCTGCTGCCCCACTACCCTGCCTACATATTGGCCTCAGTGGTAGAGGGAGGCCCAGGAGGGAGGCCCAGAGCCAGCTTACCCAGCTCTTCATTGGTGCTGTCATTGTCGGTAGCAAATGGGAACCTCTTTTGTTCTGCAATAGACCTGGCCTGGCTCTGGAAAAAAATAAAACAGAAACACATACTTTAGCTAATCACAAATGAAAAAAAACCTCTGTTAAAAACTTGTATTGTAAAATATTAAAGGTATATTTTATTTAAGTGGAAGCAGGAAGCATTTGCATTTAGTACTAACAACCATGTCTTCGAGAACACCATCTGGTGGAGCTGGTACTTCCTCTCTCCCCACTGGTTTTCGAGAGAAAGTACTGCTTTCCTTCCGTGGCAACAAACCTTGCCAGCTGCTTCAAGGACACTCCCCATCTTCACAGGGAGCGTCAATGACTTCACTCCCGTCACTCCAGTAACCAGTCCTCCAATGTGRCTTGAACACAGATACTGTGCTTTAAACTCTGGAAACACCAATCCAATTTAAAAGCAGGACTTCCACGGAGGGAAGCACAGCCAGCAGGGCGCAGCATCCCGCCCAGCGTGGACCCACCCAGCCTGAAGATAGGCCCCAGAGAAGCCAGCAGACAACACCCACGTTCAGAAGCCACGGGACTGCAAGGTAAGGAAGTGGTAAGGAAGTGGTAAGGAAGGTAAGGAAGGTAAGGAAGCCTGGTCACTGGGATGGATGCACATGCAGTCTCTGCCCACCACAAAAAGTGACGGCTGTCCTGCACTCTGGAAACAACTCGGATCTGATAAAACACACACCTGCCACCTCACCAGGAGATCTGCCACCAGGAGTGGTGACATGCCAGCCTACAGTGTGCAYGTGGAAACTTAACTCCACAGCAGAGTCGCCCAGAGGCAGTCACAACACACAATCCACAGGGAAGCTAAGACCAGAAGAGACCAAGGATCTGCGGCCTTGGCAAGTCTAGAGGCTCAGAGCCGGGGACAGTGCAGTTAGTCAGAGTCCTCCTGGCCCAGCGCAGACACTGTGGGCAGACAGCCATACCTGGGACACCCTGGCCAAGGCATAAGCTTCTCAGCCTCTGCCTGGGACTCCTTAGCCATAGCCCACTGGGCCTCACTGATTCAAGGAAGGGGGTTCCAAAGGTATTTCCCCGCGTATGCTCCTTATATGCTCCAAGTCCCAGTTAGTGGTCAGCTACAGAAAGCTCCTTGGTTTGCCTGGACAGGTGCAGAGCCAACGCACAAGCCACTGCTGAAGACACAGGCCGGAGGCACCCATCTCGGGGCTCACACCTCCCTCCCCTCTCATCCAGGAGCCCCATGGAATGAAGCATCTGGAGAGACCCCTGCTGTGGAAATGTCTGCACTCTCATGGTCGAGCCCTGGCAACTAGAGAAGCTCATCAGCCCCTCTGGTTCTGCCACAGGGTGGGAACTCCTCTGTGAGCCTTCTTCCAGATGCAGTATTACCAACGCAAGAACAGGGAGCCTTCTCCTGCGGGCTACTCCCAGCCCCAGCGAAGGCATTCCAGTGCCACCAGAGGAAGGGTAGGGATTTCCGTCAGAGGATGGACTCAACTCTAGGGACCTACCTGCACAGTTAAATACTTCCAGTGACGGCCAACTCACTACCTTACAAGAGCTGRTTTTTGACAAGTCTCAAAGTTTCTGCCACATATCAAGTTGACAACTGTCAGCAATTTAGGAAAACCAGGGGCTCACCCTCCTGTCCCAATTTCTAACTGTCTTCAATGGGTCTGACAAAAAAGCCCAGCTGTTTGGAAAACAAAGAGTAGCGTAAGGGGAATTTTAAACAGATCCTCTAAGAACACGGAAAGAAAAGGACGGTAGAAACAGGCTGAGCCTAGGCACTCAGCAGCTCAGCTCCAGAGCCCCTATGAACACAAAAAGGCCTGTCCTCCTTGAGGCAGGGGCAGGCAGGGAAAAAAGCCAACACTGACAGGCAAGGGCACCCCTGTAGGTCCAGCTGGTATTGATGAGAAACACGAGAGACCATGAGGGCGAGGCAAGGGAACGCGGAGCGCAGGGCCCTCCTGGAGAGAAGGCCAGACATGCTCCCTCCGCTCATGCGCATGTCCCAGGTCAAGAACAGCCAGCCGGCTGACCTGCCTCTAGCAGTGCAAGGTGACCAGATGCCAGGTGCCCTGCCTTTCCCCTCTGAATGCAGAGCCGGGGAAGCCTGTGCTTCGGGACACAGCACAGCAAGCAGGACAGAGACGCATACCAGAATCTTCTCGGTGTTGAGAGGAAGCAGGGAGTCGCAGGGTGGTGAGCCTTTGGGTTCGCAGTCGGATTCGTGGAAGTTCAGAAAGGACGACTCTGAAAAGCAAGCACCTTGTCATTCTTCTCGCCATGAATTCAGCAGCTTAGCATGAACTGGAATTTCAGGAACCCACAGAACAAATGAGGACGAGGTTGGAAACGCTGTGACAGAGGTCTTGTCTCCCTCTCCAGCGCCTGCAGGCCCAGGATCTTCCAACACCCATGTGTCCATCCCCACGGCCACCCTCAAAGGGCACAAAGCCGGCTAATGGCACACGGAGGGCAGTGCAGTTGCGGCCTCTCTAACAGCAGCAGGCAGGGCAGCCTGCTGGAGGCATGCTCAGCACGGGATGAAGGGCTGGAGCTGGGCCTCTGGCTCCAGGTCCTCCCGGAGCTCTTGCGTCACATCCAGAGCGCGCGCCAGGGAGTGATGCCAAGCCAGGGAGACAGCACTAGAGAGTGTGCAGAGTCCAGCATCCAGARCACGAAAACCACCACTCAACAAGACATGGGCCAAGTGGAAAAGGCAGCAGAGGGCTCAAGGAGGAGCCTCCAGAGGKCCAAGTGGCCCCCTATATATGAAATGATTCTATCATTTATAAAAATGCAAAGTAGACCACAACGAGGACTTCCTCACACCCCTAAGATGGCCAACTTAAAAAGAAGAAAACAAGTGTTGGCAAGGACGTAGGAGAACTGGGAACTTTGGGTCTGGCAGGTAAGAAGGTAAAATGGAACAGCCACTATGGAGAGCAGTTTTGCATTTTCTCAAAAAGTTAAGCACGGAATCATCACATGACCCAGTGATTCCAGGCCCAGGTACAGAACTGAGAATAGGGACTCAAACATGTGCCGTGAACACTCGCTCACAGCAGCTCTGTTCACAACAGTCCACATGTGCACCAAGGATGAAGAGACATCCAGAGCTGTGTCTGCAGTGGACTGTCACTCAGCCATACACTGAGGTGCTGAAGCACCTGACCCGTGGAAGAACCTCCAAAACATGAGGCCGAGACAAAAGGTCACAGGTCACAAAGCACCACTGGCAAGAAATGCCCAGAACAGGTCTGTCTGCAGAGACAGCGCGGACTGCTGGTGGCCAGGGGAGGGGAATGGGAGAAATGCTTCATGGGCAGGGCAGACCTGCTCTGAGGAGCCCTGCCACATCTGCATGTCCTGTGAGCACCTGGAACCGCTCACTTTAAAACAGTCATACCTATTATCCCCGCAACTCGAGAATTTGAGGCAGGAGAACTGCAAGTTAAAGGCCAGCCTCAGTAACTTAGCCAGACCTTGTTTCAAAATAAAAAAGACTGGCTGGAAGTTGTGGGAGACCAACCTTGCACGTGACTAAGTCACACTCCCCAGCTGGGTGCTGAGGTGCTCAGTCAAAGAAATGTGGCAGAGCTTTCCCCACCCTTCTTGGGTTCGAGGGTCAATGTCTCGTGCATGGGTGTGTCTTGCTATAGCCCCATGGGTGAAGCTATGCTCACCTGTTCCTTTGTAATATAACTCCTTGCCCTGTTTAGGGTAGAATTTTCCATGGAAGTGCCTCATGTGTCCCTTCTCTTACTGTGCCCTTGGTTGTGGCCTACCCAGGTGTCAGTCAACCTGCTGACAGTGGACATCATGAAAATAGACTCAGCCCCCTGAAACCTGGCCCCTTTCCTCATTTGAATAGCTTCTCCTTAATAAAAGGGGTCAGTGTGTTCTCTCTCTTCCTGCGGACCCTTAGGGTCAGAGGAGCTGTCACAGCGACCCCAAAGAAAAAGGTATTTGTSTCTCTTGTGTGGTTATTTTGCACAGCCCAGTTAGCCCAGTTCAAGTGGAGTGACTCCTGAGCCTTTTAGTCCCGAGAACAGAAACCAGGCAGGGAGTGAAGGCAGACTCCTGTAATCTTGGTGGCTCAGGAGGCTGAAGCAGGAGGACTGCTGGTTCAAAGCCAGCCTCAGCAGCTTAGTGAGACCCTGAGCAACTCGGCAAGACCCTGTCTCTAAATAAAATATTCTTTAAAATATTTTATTTAGGGGCTGTGGCTCAGTGGTAGAACGCTCGCCTAGCAAGTGCGAGGCCTTGGGTTTGATCCTCAGTGCCACATAAAAATAAATAAAGGTATTGTGTCTGTCTACAACTAAAAATAAATATTAAAAAATAAAAAGGACTTGGATGTGGTTCCACTGAGTACCCCCATTCAATTGAGTACCCCCATTCAATTCCTGGTATAAAAAGAAAAATTAAAAGACCAGGGACGTGGCTCAATGATTAAGCATCCCTGGGTTCAGTCCCTTGGACAAACRTAATAATAAAATAAAGTGGTCAATATCATTATGAGACCCTCACCTCAACTATTTTAAAAAGCTATGTCCTAATTGAGCAGCCATTAAGGAGCACCAAGGGGAGTCCAAGGAGCCAATTGGGGGACAGAACTGACCAAAAGTAAAACTGACAAATAGCCTCAGCCCYCAGGGGTTTCCGCACAGGGCAGGATGAGGAGCCGAGTGGGCTGGGCACTGGGCACGCAGTGCACCGGAGGCCGCTGCGCAGGCGCAGAGGCCGGGATGCGAAGGGGCAGGCGGGAGGGGCCTGCTGGAGGGGGTGCCACCGTACACCCAGCCTGTGGGGGCGACCCAGGGAGGCCCATGGGGGTGGTCCAGGAGGCTCGTGGGGACRGCCAGGGAGGCCCGTGGGGAAGGGCTATGGGGAAAGCCCGGGAGCCCCCTGCTTTTCCATGCCACACCAGTGCTCCAGTGGGTGTCTGTGGTCTCTATTCTACATATTTACCAATCAGGACTCATGTGCACACACTCGAGCGACAGTAGTGGGCTTTCTCTGTGGTCCACTCCCTCGGCTCCCTGGGTATCAGCCTGCTCRTCCTCCCCAGTCCAAACAACACTAGCACGTCACATGAGGGGCTCCTTGGCCATCTGTGGGGCTGCTTTGGGGCCTTGTCATGGCCTTTGCTCATTTTCTACCCCACCCTTTACCAATCCTCTTTGTTTTATTATTTTTTGAGATTTATTTATTGATGTTCATTTTCAAGTTGAGTGACTTTCCCTGACTTCAGCCATGAAGAATCCCCAGTCACCTGATTTCGCAGCTGTCCCAGCAGCACTGACCATCAATTTCTTCATCAGCCTTAGAACACATCACAGCCACTAGAGGGGCATTCTAGACTTTTCCTTCAAAGGAATCTTTTAAGATTATTCAAGAGACTGGAGACAGCAGGGTGGTATAGCCCCTGCCCAGCACAATGCCTGTGTCACCTCTGACAGATCACAGTCCACTTTCGATGTGGACATCTGTCAAAGAGTACAGCAGTAGCCAGCTGCGCTAGGAGAACTCTGYATTCAAGCCAGCCTCAGTCTAAGCAAGACTCTGTCTCATGAAATATAAAAGGGGCTATGCTGTGGATGTGGCTTAGTGGTTAAGCACCCCTGGGTTCAATCCCTTATAACCCGCCCCCCCTCAAAAAAACCTCAGCAATAATTCATGTTCTTTGAAGAAAATAGAGAAAAATCACAAAACACAGAAGACATCTGGAATAGCACAATTCCTGAGAACCACAGGGAAAATGTGTTAGACATAACTGAGGGTGGACTTCTGAAATCAGATGGCCGGGCTGACCTCCCAGCCTCTGTCAGCACTCACCAGCTCTTGGCCATGGAAACCTCAGTGTCACTGGTAAAARGGGTCAACAGTACCACCCACTTCTCAGTTGTGAGGCTAATAAGGATTATGTGAAGAGCACACAGGGCCACCCCTGGGCCCCAGGAGGAGACCACGACATACTGGCTGTAACCACCATGGGGCTGTATGAACTGAATGAGGCCCTTCTGCAACCAGCCCTTTCAACAATACAACGTGTTTTCCCACGATTAATTTATTTTTGCACTTAAATTCAAAGCTTGGGAATGACATGCCATTTTTAAAATAAAGATTTCCATTTTCTTCATTGAACCTGCTTTGTTGGCTCTAGACTGACTCCTCAATCCCTTGGAAGGAACTATTTGGCTTCAGTGTCACTGTTTCGATTGCTGTAGCTTCACAATCATGAAGCAAAGCCATTAAGCTCTTTCTAAGAATTCTTCAYTATTTGTATAAACATTCTTTTTCCTAGTAACCTTTAAATATTTTCTTTAGGTCCAAAACAAAAATTCTTTCTATGATTTTTATTAGAATTACATAAATTTTAATTAATGGGGAAAGGAATACCTGATTTCTTCACAAAATCTAACCAACTTATGTGGTTGGTTAAAGTCTTCCTCGGACCTGTATGAAGCCTTACATCTTCAACTGCTGGTGCGACTGCTGACTAAGCACATCTGTGGCAGCCCTGCCCCAGCTACACCCAGTGGACAGCAACCCAGGGGCAACCAGCAGCAGTCAGACAGCAGCAGTCAGACAGCAGCAGCAGCCAGCACAGGGCTACACCAAGGGCACAGTAAGGCAGCATCTGCCCAGGACACAGATGAGGGGAGCAGCTAAAATACCATCACCCTCCCCCCACTCCCACAGGCGCTCCCTGAGCCCACTCATCAGAGACCAAAAGAAAACAAACCCAGCTGAAGCCATGTTCCAGCAATGACGGAGGGCGGGACCTGAGCCCAGGGGCTGGCTCTGGAGTAGGTTTCGTTGCTGTTGGGCATAAGTGGTGGCTRCTTATTTGGTGGGTTTTTCTTTTCTTTTCTTTTTTTTGTACTGGCTGAATCCAGGGGTGCTATACCACTGAACTTCCTTCCCAGCCTCTTTAGTTTGAGACAGGGCCTTACTGAGTTGTCCAGGCTGGCCTCAAACTTGGAATCCTCCTGTCTCAGCTTCCCAAATAGCTAGGATGACAGTATGGTCACTGCATCCAGCAGGTTTGGGTGAGCCATAGACAATGAAGGTAGAGCTAAGGGGAGTCACTGAGGTGACAAAGGCCAGAGGGCAGTGGCACAGGGAAGTCCAGGCAGAAGTGCCACACATTCTGAAGATGTGTCTAACTGGCTGGAACTGGGTATTTCATCTGTCCACATTTCTGACCTCCTTACAAGTCTACTAATGTCCTCATTTATTCA